AATCCCAGCAGCTCAGGAGGCTAAGGCAGGAGGCCGAGAGTTCAAAGCCAGCCTCAGCAACTTAATGAGGCCCTACGCAACTAAGTGAGACCGTGTCTCTAATAAAATATAAAAAAAGGGCTGAGGAAGTCACTCAGTGGTTAAGTATTCCTGAGTTCAATCTCTGGTGACCAAAAAAAGGGGGTGGGGCCTGGGAATGTATGTAGCTCAGTGGTAGAGAACTTGCTAGCATGTGCTGGGCCCTGGGTTCAACCCCTAGTACTACAGAAGTAAATAAATAGATAAAATAGAATATTTCACCTTCTGTGGATACTCACATTCCTCCCTTATATAAAATAGCACCAATCCTTCCTTCTACCCTAGTGTATCACCTGACATATTCTTTTGATTATTTGCATATTATTTCTTTCTTCATAGAAGGTAAACTCCTTAAAAGCAGAGAATCTTCACATTTTTTGCTCATTGCTGCCTTGAACAGTACTTGGCATATAGTAGGCACTTGGGGGAGGGGGAGGGAAGAAACTTGTAGGAACTGAAGGATATGCATTTCTAAATTCAAAGACTTCACCAAATACCCAGTGCCATAGGTGGAAAGATAGTCCACAGCATGGCACATGTCAGTGAAACATCAGAATTTGAAGGGGCGCGGTGGGGGAGATACAAAACCTTTCAGAGAGGAAAAAATAAACAAGTCATAATCAAAATACATAGATTTGAATTCTATACTTCTTAGAAGCTAGGAGATAGTGGACCAATGCCTTTGAAAGAATGAAGAATAGTGTTCATTCAAAGTAATATACAATAAAGATACTCCAGACCTGCAGTTTTTAAAACATTATGACCTGTGTATTTTTCAAAAAGCTACTGTACAAACTAAGGGGATACACAAGACAGAAAAATAAAGAACCCAGTAACTAATGACTCAGCACAAGACAAGAGCAAAGGACATCCTAAGGAAACTGGTGAAGGGGGACGCCTGTTCAGAAGCCTAGGGAGCTGCCAGACCTGCTTGAGTGAGACAGAAAACTGCTGAAGAATGTCTCACCTGGTAGATTACTGATAAGTTTGAATATTTTGAGAGAAGAAGCACATTTCTGGTAAAGAGACTAAGTAGGATTAATTAGTAATGAGTATGTTGAAAAATAGGCCTATGAAGTAAATGACAATTAACTGTAGGACAGACTAAAAGTTGTATAGGAGAAGAAACACAATATTTACATTGGTGTGTGAGGTGATCCTCAGCATCACATAAAAATAAATGAAAAAGTTCTTATATAATTAAAATTTTGAGTATCTGACGTTATGACTTAACTATGTTGAGAGGACTGGAATCAGGAAGAAGGGCATGAGAGTTCATTCTTCATCTATAGTATAAATTATAGAATACCTAAAACTGACAAATTAAGAAATAGCAGTATAAGCACTAGTTTACAGATATAGAGATAATTATAAGAAAAGGCAAAAACTCCTCTAGGGAGGAGTTTAAAAAGGGACTTTTCAGTAACTGCTTGTTTTGATTTTTATATATTTGATTTTATTATTTTATTTATTTATTTTTGTAGTACCCAAGAAGCTCTGGGTTTGATTCCAGCCCTGTTTTGGTTTTTAAACTATCTTTATAGAACTGTGACTAAACAGGTAGCATTCACTTGAAATTTCTGAGGGTGAATGAAAGAGGAAGTAGATAAAATGAACTATAGACTATACTTTCAGGGAATTTGACTATGGAGAAAGAATTATCCTTCACCCCCTCACACACACACAAAAAAATAGTCTTGTACTTTATTCTCCTTATCTCGAGTATATCTCATTTTCTCTCATCCAAATCAGTTCTTGCCTCTTAAGTGATCTATTAACCTTCCCCAATCTTACCCTTCTCCACACTGTAATCAGAGTTGATCTCTGAGTTCTGTGGTTAAAATTATCTACTAGCTTCCTGTTTCCTTTAAGATAAACTTCAAAATCCTTAGTATGGGGGCTGGGATTGTGGTTCAGCAGTAAAAAGTTTAGCTAATACATTCGAGGACCTGGTTCGATCCTCAGCACCACATAAAAATAAATGAAATAAGAGTATTGTGTGCAGCTACAATTAAAAAAATAAACATTTTTTAAAAAAATCTTTAGTATGAACTGCAGAACTCAGTGTGATCTGACCCTGCTCCTCTACCCCTCATCTTCAATACCCTCAACTCCAATCCATCCAAACCACATAGGTTCCCATGATTTACCCTCACCCTTCTGTCTTCCTTACCTTTGCATACCTGGTATCCCAGTCTCCCTCAGTTCATCTGGCAGAATTCCTTCTAATCCTTGTGGAATGACCCCAGGATAATTTGACCACTGCCTCCTCTACCTGCTTCTCCAACACTCACTGGGCTGTGTTCTTCCTTTGTATTCCCATAATGTCCTCTGCATGTTTCTGCTATCACATTTATCACACTGTATTTTTATTGCTTATTTTCTTTCCAGTTTGACTCTTCCTCCTTTTGTCCTCCTGTGGCTGAGCTTACTGCTGGTAGTTGGGTGATTAGAGCTTTCCATTGTATTTTTGGAGGGGGAAAGAGAAGAAACCGCATTTATGTACTTCTCTTTTTTTAATGTCATTGTTTTATTTTTTACATTTTTATTAGTGCATTATAGTTGTACATATTGATGGGATTTGCTATTACATATTCGTCATGCACACGATATAACAATACAGTTTGCCCAATATCATTCCCCAGCACTTCCCCCTCCCTCCCTGTTTTTTTTAAAGATTTTTTTTATATGGACACAATATCTTTATTTATTTTTATGTGGTGCTGAGGATCGAACCCAGTGCCCCAGATGTGCAAGTCAAGCGCTGTGCTGCTGAGTTATAACCCCAGCCCCCTTCTCCGTTTTTTTTTTTTTTTTTAAAGAGTGAGAGAGGAGAGAGAGAGAGATAATTTTCAAAATTTATATTTTAGCTCTTGGCAGACACAACATCTTTGTTGGTATGTGGTGCTAGGCGAGCGCTCTACCACTGAGCCACAACCCCAGCCCCCCTTCTCCGTTTTTTAACGTTAATAGTAAAGCTCTGAACTTCCTCCTTCTGGTGGTGGGGATTAAACCCATGGCTTTGAGCAACATGTACTCTACCACACAGCTACATCCTGGCCCGTAAAATTTAACTTTAGTTTTGGAAATGGGCTAATGCAGAAGGCAAAATGTGACCTGCGTTTAACCTGCGGGGTGTTAGTCTGTGGGTTTGTACAAAAGGAAGAGGAGCCAGGACACAGGACACCCTTCTCTTTCGTTCACATTCTTTGCAGTAGAACTGTTGGCTCTAGAACACTTGGCCGCTGGAGGAATGACCTAGAAACCACCACCAGTCGGTCCACCGGGCCACCTCCTTCCCTCCACAGAGCGTTCCACAGTCTGGTGGAATTCCTCCCCAGGCCCTCCGTGACTTATGTACTTCTTTACCAGATCTTCTTCAGTGCTTATACTGATTTAACTGCTTGCTTCTGTGTTGTGCTTAGTGCAGTTCATATATGCCTCTGTTCTACTTTTAAAGAACAGCCCTGATCATACCACCACCTTACTTTCCCTTCAGTGACTACCCTTACTTTGGGGCTGAAGGTCAGGTATAGTTTACAGGGCTTTCTTATCTGGCTTGTGTCTCCTGAGTCATCCTCCCTTGGACTTTGAATTCCTCTAACATGCCCTGTTCCCATGCATGCAGCTTCATTTATTTAAAATAGACTTCTCCCTACCATTTAATCTGGCTGACTACTTCTGACCTTTGAGGTTTCTCTTCATCTTAGATAGCATTTTCTCCAGTAAACTTTCCCTGACCAAAGCCCTCATTCCACCTCCATCTGGGGCACTCCTCCCCTGTCTTGCTGTGGCACCTGGTTAATCACTTCTGCCATTGACCTTAGCCACCACCATCCAGTGTGAGTCTTTTTCCTTCTGCTTTATTCCCCCATCTCTGGCTTAGTGCCTGAACCTAGTATGGACTCTTTATAACGCTTCTGTTTCCTCCAGTGGCCTGTGAAGCTCCTGTGTGTGGCACAAAGAAAGTGCTAAGAGAATGTTTGATTCAGTAAATGACTGTTTTTACCTGGACTGTTTATACCTGGAGTATAGCAGTCAGAGAGAAAGAAATGGACCCCCTTCCAAAAAGAAAAAAAACACCTTTTCATGTTCTGCATCATCCAAAGCCTCTATTCTTTGCTCTGAGCAGTTCGAAGGCTCATTTTTGCTACTTTTAAGTACTTTTAAGGATAATTTATTGAAATTATTTAACTGAAGCTTCAAAGATAAAATAGTATTCAGCCCTCACCTGGGAATAATAATGGCTTTAATTTTATAAAGTGTGTGTATGTGTGTGTATAAAATCAGGTATTTTGATCTTGGCTTGGGTGAGGGGGGCGGCAAGCAGTGCTGGAAATCAAACCCAGGGCCTAGAGCATGCTAGGTAAGTGGCGGCACTGAGCTACATCCCCAGCTTCAAGTGAAGAATTTTAAAGGAATTAGATAAGCCTAGAAACTAGATCCTGGGCAGTTCTCCTTCATAAGATTGATCTATGAAAGTATTGTTGCTTGTGAAATCTGAGACAAAACCCATCTCATCTGAGCATCTGAGTATCTGAGTTAGACTTTTTGGTTTAAGCAAATTTAGCCTACACAACCTGTTTATTTTGTCTCTGAAAACTTCATTGGGAATTTTAATATTTAAGTTTTTTCTTGACACTAAATGATTTTTAACTTATAGTTGTTTAAAAAAATTGTTTAGTAAAATTGGAAAAAAAATGTCTGAATGGTACTGCTTTTGTTTTGTCTGCATGTTTTCTTCCTCTTATCTATAAATGTGATGGTATTTTGTCTTACTTTTTGTTACTTGATGCATAAATGTTTTTATTTGACAGTATAATTAACATAATTTAACCTCTAATGATAAATTTTATAATATTCTAACTAGAGGATTTTTTTCTTTGTTTCTCCCCTGTTTGGTTTTTTCCCCTTGAACCTAGTTATTGTGGAATTACAAGCTGAACCTGACTACTGATCCCAAGTTTGAGTCTGTGGCCAGAGAGGTTTGCAAATCAACCATATCAGAGGTAGGTTTTAAAATAATTTCATAAATATTAAATGACTCCGAAGAGAAAATTATATCTGTTGACCAGAACAGTCTTTAAGAAAGGAATAACTTGATTATTTTTATCTTTCTTGGAAATTGACAACTGACTTGATTCAGAGATAGGAAGTGGGGTGTAATTAAACTTCTTTTCAAGATCAGGTTCTCTCAGTCCCAACCATCCAGAGCCACTGCTGAGCTTATCAGTGCTGCTCCCACACCTGTTACAATCTGCCAGACCAGAGGCCAATCCAAACCCCTGGAAGCTTCATACTCCTCAGTGCTTTGGCTCTGCATTTGGATCAATTGAACCACAGAAGTATAAGCTTCAGTAAGGAGCTAGTGCTATAAAGGTTAAAGGTATCAATGTTTATATATTTAGAAATTTATACTGAGTATAAAGAAAAAATTAATGTACAGATATTAAGGGAAACTTTTTAATGATATTAATGAAAATTGTGGTATTTGAGTATCTTTTTTGTATTTGGGTAATTTTTTATTTTATTTTTATTTTTTGGTGGTGCTAGGGATTGAATCCAGGGCTTCTTGCATGACAGGCAAGCACTACCACTGAACCATAACTCCAGCCATGCCGTAATTCAAGTGACTCAGGAGACTGAGACAAAATTAAAAGGGCTGGAAGTTTAAGCACCCCTGGGTTCAATCCCCAGTACCCTCCAAAACCAAACCCTTTGATTGGAAATATACTCATGACCCTGCTTTTAGGAATCATCCATCTTAACTACTGAAGATTTCTGCTGCCCTTCAAGCCAGTGTGCAACTGATTACTAAAATTCCAGAATATTCTGTTGCTTTTTTTTTTTTTTTGGTACTAGGGATTGAACCCAGGGGTGCTTAACAACCACACCACATCTCCAGCCTTTTTTATTTTTTATTTTAAGACAAAGTCTCACTAGGTTCTTACAGTCTTGTTAAGTTGCTGAAGCTGGCTTTGAACTTGTGATCCTCCTGCTTCCCCTTCCTGAGCTGCTGGGGTTACAGGCACGCATGCACGGCAAAATTTGTTTCTTATTTATTTATTTAGGTCCTGGAAATTTAACCCAGGGGCACTTTTCTTCTGAGCTACAGACCAGCTCTTTAATTTTGATATAGATTCTCACTATATCAATTCTCTTTTTTAATTTTGATATAGATTCTCACTAAGTTGCTAAGCCTAGCCTCAAACTTTCAATCCTCCTGCCTCAGTTTCTGGGATTACAGACATGTACTACTATACCCCACTTGAACATTGTTTTAAACATGTTTCTGTTCTAGACCACAACAGATAAACTTGTATTCTACTAAGTTCAGAAATGTGTGTCCAAATCCATAGTTAATGCAGAGCATATTAAATGTTATCAAGAATTAGTATTAGGGATTGGGGTTGTGGCTCAGTGACAGAGTGCCTGCCTCACACATGTGAGGCATTGGGTTCGATCCTCAGCACCACATAAAATAAATAAAATAAAGTCTGTCTACAGTTACAAAAAATTTAAAAAAAAAAAGAATTACTATATCTTGATTTAAATTTAGCACGGATATGGTAACCTAGTATAACAAAAGGAAGGAATAAACGGGTTGGGGAAACCAGAAATTCTATAATGAAATGCTAATCATTGCTGTAATAGTAGTTGTCCTAAATACAAAAAGGTTTGGTAGATTCTAACATATTAACTTGAAACAAAGTATGCTTTTCTTCTTCAGCAATATCCCTAGTATAAATTTCAACAGAATCTCTCCCTGTGGTCATTAGACTTACCTAATGACAGTAGTTTGCTGTGTAACTTGGCTTGAACACACAGCTAGACTTCCAGTTCTACCTCTGTTTTCCTGACCTGCTCCTTTGATTCATCTCCTCACTGCCTACTACATTCTGCACATAGTTAAAAGGACTTCTCTACTTGTCAGTTATAGATGTTAGCATCTCTTCTTACTCCATTTAGAAATGGATTCTACCTAAGTGTTTGGGTATGATTGTATTTTTTTACAGAACACATTAATCATGTATTTCTTAAAAGGCACAATAATCTGGGTAGCCATGAATGTCTATAAAAAACAACGTCTATGTCTCTTCTGCTATTACACCATAGTCAACACAGAACACATCTGACATCAGATGTGTGGGGACTTGCCCACTAGTGAGTGAGCTGTTTGCAGGGACACCAGCCTAATGTCTTCTAATTCAATTCAGTTCTGACATTATCTACCTGCAAACTGTCAGATCTTACAGGTTGAGGCTCATTTCCTAAGATGTCCCCACCCCTTTAGGTCATAAGCACCAGGTGGTTTTACCTGCTTCTGAATGAACAGTTATAAATCAGAGTTTCCACAACCCCCTTAGGTTCTATTAATTTGCTCCAGTGGTTCACTTAACTTATGGAAACACATTTACTGATTTATTGTAAAGGCTATTTCAAAGGATCCAATGAAGAGATGTATCCATCAAGGTATGGGGGGTGGCACCTCACACTCCAGGAACCTCTGCATGTTTAGTTCTTGGGAAGCTCTCTAAATCCTGTCCTTTAGGACTTTTATGGAGACTTCATTGCTTAGCTGATGCCAAACTGAGTGAGGAAACTCAGCAAGGGCCGAAGGACTTTAGCACTCTTCTTGGCCTCTCCATGCAGCTTTCCTCCCTCCCTCCAGGGAATGGGGAAGCACCCTTGTGGAATGAACAGGATCTTATAACCTGGTACTGGACAAGGAAGGATTTAAAAATTTAATTTACCAGGAGGATTGTAGTCTCTATGACCTGACTTGGGGAAGAGAAATTCTAATTTCTGTGACCTGCTTTGGGAAGGAAGTTGTAAGCCAAGAACTATGGACCAAAAAAAAAAAAAAAAAAAAAGGCATATCTGTTATAATATAACAGAATGGCACATTATTCTTTTTTAAAATTTTTTTATTCTAATTAGTCATATATGACAGCAGAATGCAGTTCAATTCATATGACACAAATAGAGCACAATTTTTCATGTCTCTGGTTGAAAACAAAGTATGAGTCACACAATTTGTGTTTTCATACATGTGCTTAGGGTAATGATATCCATCTCATTCCACCGTCTTTCCTACCCCCTTGTCCCCTCCTTTTCCCTCCCTCCCCTTTGCCCTGTCTAGAGTTTGTCTATTCTTCCCATGGTCCCCTCCATCCGCATTATGAATCAGCATCCTATGCCAGAGAAGATATTCGGCATTTGGTTTTTGGGATTGGATTACTTTACTTAGCATTATATGCTCCAACTCCATCCATTTACCTGCAAATGCCATGATTTTATTCTCTTTTAATGCTGAGTAGTATTCCAAATTGTGTATAAATACCACAGTTTCTTTATCCATTCAACTACTGAAGTGTATCTAGGTTGGATCCACAATTTAGCTATTGTGAACTGTGCTGCTATAAACATCGATGTGGCTGTGTCACTGTAGTATGCTGTTTTTGAGTCCTTTGGGTATAAACCAAGGAGTGGGATAGCTGGGTCAAATGGTAATTCCATTCCCAGTTTTCCAAGGAATCTCCATACTGCTTTCCAGATTGGTTGCACCAATTTGCAGTCCCACCAGCAATGTAAGAGTGTGCCTTTTCCCCCACGTCCAGCATTTATCGTTGTTTATATTCTTTTTAAAAAAATATTTATTTTTTAGTTTTAGGTGGATACAATATCTTTATTTTATTTTTACATGGTGCTGAGAATCAAACCCAGTGCCTCATGCATGCTAGGCGAGCATGCTACCATTTGAGCCACATCTCCAGCCCTGTTTATATTCTTAATAGCTGCCATTCTAATTGGAGTGAGATGAAATCGTAGTTTTGATTTGCATTTCTCTAATTGTGAGAGATGTTGAACATTTTTTTAATGCATTTGTTGATTGATCGTATATCATTTTCTGAGAAGTATCTGTTCAGTTCCTTGGCCCATTTATTGATTGGATTGTTTTGGTGTTATGATTTTTTAGTTCTTTATATATCCCAGAGATTAGTGCTGTATCTGATGTGCATATGGTAAAAATTTGCTCCCATTCTGTAGGCTCTCTATGCACTTTACTGATTGTTTTTTGTTTTGTTGTTGTTAGTTATACAAGGGCACAATATCTTTATTTTTGTTTATTCATTGTTTCTCTTGCTGAGAAGAAGCTTTTGAGTTTGAATTCATCCCATTTATTGATTCTTGATTTTATTTCTTATGATGTAGGTGTCTTGTTAAAGGAAGTTGGGGCCTAATCTGACATGATATAGATTTGGGTCACCTTTTTCTTCTATTAGGTTCAGGGTCTTTGGTTTAATTTCTAGGTCTTTGATCCACTTTGAGTTGAGTTTTGTGCATGGTGAGAGAGATAGGGTTTAATTTCATTTTGTTGCATTTGGATATCCAGTTTTCCCAGCACCATTCATTGAAGAAGCTATCTTTTCTCCAATATATGTTTTTGGCACTTTTGTCTAATATAAGATAACTGTATTTATGTGGGTTTGTCTCTGTGTCTTTTATTCTGTACCATTGGTCTACAAGTCTGTTTTGGTGCCAATACCATGCCATTTTTGTTACTATAGCTCTGTAGTATAGTTTAAGGTCTCGTATAGTGTTTTATTCTTCTTGCTAAGGATTGCTTTAGGTATTCTTGGATCTCTTATTTTTCCAGATTTCATGACTGCTTTTTCTATTTCTATGAGGAATGTCATTGGAATTTTGATTGGAATTGCCTTACATCTGTAGAGTGCTTTAATAGTATGATCATTTTGACAATATTAATTCTGCCTATCCAAAGAGCAAGGTAGATTGTTCCATCTTCTAAGGTTTTCTTTGATTTCTTTCTTTAATGTTCTGTAATTTTCATTGTAGTGGTCTTTCACCTCTTTTGTTAGRTTGATTCCCAAGTATTTTATTTTTTTGAGGCTATTGTAAATGGGGTAGTTTTCCTCATTTCTCTTTCAGAGGATTTGTCACTGATATACAGAAATGCCTTTGATTTATGGGTGTAGATTTTATATCCTGCTACTTTGCTGAATTCATTTACTAGTTTTAAATGTTTTCTGGTGGAATTTTTTGGGTCTTCTAGGTATAGAATCATATCATCAGCAAATAGTGCTAATTTGAGTCATCTTTTCCTATCTATATCCCTTTAATTTCTTTCGTCTGTCCAATTACTCTGGCCAGTGTTTCAAGAACTGTGTTAAATAGAAGTGGTAAAAGAGGGCATCCCTGTCTTGTTTCTGTTTTTAGAGGGAATGCTTTCAATTTTTCTCCATTTAGAATGATGTTGGCCTAGGGCTTAGCATAGATTGCTTTTACGATGTTGAGGTGTGCTTCTATTATCCCTAGTATTTCTAGTGTTTTGAACATGAAGGGCTGCTGTATTTTGTCAAATGCTTTTTCTGCATCTATTGAGATGATCATATGATTCTTATCTTTAAGTCTATTTATGTGATGAACTACATTTATTGATTTCCATATGTTGAACCAACCTTACATCCTTGGGATAAATTCCACTTGATAATGGTGCACTATCTTTTTGATATGTTTTTGTATTCGATTTGCCAGAATTTTTGCATCTGTGTTCATTAGAGAAATTGCTCTAAAGTTTTCTTTCTTTGATGTGTCTTTGCCTAGTTTTGGCCTCTTATTAGCCTCTTAGAATAAGTTTGGAAGTATCTGTTATAATATCACAGAATGACACTTTTTTTTTTTTTTTTTGGTACCAGAGATTGAACCCAGGGGCATTTAACCACCAAGCTGCATCCCCAGCCCTTTTTAATTTTATTAGAGACAGGGTCTCCTGAGTTGCTTAGTGACTCACTGAGTTGCTAAGACTGGGTTTGAACTCATGATCCTTCTGCCTCAGCCTCCTGAGTAGTTGGGATTACAGATGTGCAACTCTGAATCCAGCTACATTATTATTATTCTTTTAACCTTTACTTTATTTATTTATTTTTATGTGATGCTGAGGATAGAACCCAGCACCTTGCACATGGTAGGTAACCAGTCTACTGCTGATCCACAACCCCAGCCCCAATGAATATATTTCTAAATGCTTTCCTTTTTTCTCCCAATTAAAAAGTTAGGAAATCAATAGGAAAGTACCAAATGTCTCTTTCTTAGAAGTTATTTGATTCAGGGCTGGGGTTGTCTTAGTAATAGAGCGCTTGCCTCACATGTGTGTGAGACACTGGGTTCGATTCTTAGCACCACATATAAATAAATGAATAAAATAAAGGTCCATCAAAAACTAAAAAAATTTTGGAAAAAAAAAGTTGTTTGACTCAAGCACGGAATATTTGTGTAAATCAGCCACTTTCCCACTTTCTTTTGAACAGATTAAAGAATGTGCGGATGAACCAGTTGGAAAAGGTTACATGGTTTCCTGCTTGGTGGATCACCGAGGCAACATCACTGAGTACCAGTGTCACCAATACATTACCAAGATGACGGCCATCATTTTCAGTGATTATCGTTTAATCTGTGGTTTTATGGATGACTGCAAAAATGACATCAACATTCTGAAATGTGGCAGCATTAGGCTTGGCGAAAAGGTATCACCAAAGGGATCTTATAAACTTATGAGCTTGATAAATGAAAATCATTGTGTAATTCACATGGGAAAAATTTAGGAATAGAGTGAACAAGGTTCAAATTAAAAAAAAAAATTGCCCAGACACCTCTAAAATCTAAGACTAATTGACTTATGAATGCATTTCGTGTGTTCCTAACAAAATGTTTCAAAACTGTGTATGGGGAAGTAAAGGAGTCAACATCTGCGAAGACAGTGTTATCTTCAAAGTGTAATTACAACATGCATTTGGCAAAGAGAGACCAGAGTTCTCTGTTTCTCTGCACATAAACTCACTGTTAACATTCTTTAGTCAGCTTTTATGTCTCCGAACAAAATACTTAACAAGAACAACTTAAAGGAGAAAACATTTATTTGGGGCTCACAGTTTCATAGGTCTCAGTCCTAGACAGCCAGCTCCATTGCTCTGGACTGGAGGTGAGACAGAATATCATAGGAAAGGACCCAGCAAAGGAAAGCTGTTCAGCTTCTGTTGAGGCTAGGAAGCAGAGAGAAAGGGGGAGGAAGAGGCCACACACAGATGAGCCCTTCTAGGGCACCCCCCCCAGTGACCCACCTCCCCTGCCCTACCTGCCTACAATTACCCCCAGTCAGTCCATTCAAACTAGGATGGCTGATTAGGTTATAGCTCATGCAGTCTTCACTTCTGAACATTTCTGCATTAATAGGAGCTTTTGTAGGAAACTTCACATCCAAACCATAACATACCATAAAAAAATTACTTAGCAGGCATACTGGTTGGTCTGCATTTGTAAAATTAGGTATTTAAATATTAGAAAAGGTACTTCTAACTTATCAGAAGAAAGGTGATCTGTACATATGATATATTATCTTCATCTCAGAAGAACTGATTATAGTAAAGACAGAAAAGAACTGCCTAACTAGTTTCTTCCTCAGTTATATCTGATCTTTGAAATTATTAACCTGTTAAACAGAAGGATACAATGAAGGTTTGGCCAGTTTATTCAGAATTTGTTTGCTTAGCAAAAAACGAAAGAAACTCTAGAAAAGTAATGAATGCCAGTGGGAGACTTGGTCTGAGACCCGTGGCATCAGCTATTAAATGCTGCTGCTCATTAATCTTTTCTTTAAAACATAGGATGGAAACTAAACTCATTTGTTTCTTTAACCTCTGTCTATGGTTTGCAGGCATCTTTAACAAAGGGGGCATGGTATTAGAATCCTGAGCACACTAGCTCAGATGAAGGGTTTTGACTGTCACCAAGCCTTGGTGCCTGTCCTCCATATCAGCACAGATTCCGGAGCCCTTTCATAGATACCTCAGTATACAGTCAGTCTGTGTAAGCTTGGCATACTCCTTTCAGGCAGCTAAAGAAAGGCCAGGGTTTTGTTTTTTTGTTGTATTGGTATTGAACCCAGCGTTGTTTACCACTGAGCTACATCCCCAGTCATTTTTTAAATTTATTTGAGACAGGGTCTGTCTGAATTGCTCAGGCTGGCCTCTAACTTGTGTGCCTCTTACCTCAGCTTCCTGAGAAGCTGGAACAACAGGTGTGCACCATCACACTCGGCCATTTTCATCTTTTGATATACCTATCAGTTAGGTACAATTTCTGTATCACTACCTTGCCATCAAAGGTTTTATTGTATTTAGGGGACAGTGAGATGGGCTCATGCCTGCACTTATGTCTCAGAAAAAGCATGTTCCTTCCAGTGTAATTTGGTACCACTGCATTTAAAAAATGAGAAAGGCATATCCTCAGCCCTTCTTTGCTTTTTCTAACTGTAGTTTGCTTCTCCATGGCCAGTTGTGTAGATAACTAGATAATTTTATCCTGAAAATTAGTTAATTGGCTTCTGACCACAGAAGAAAACAATCTCATCAATTTCAAATTTACTGCTGATGAAACTTGAAAACTGTACCATGACTGGCTTTGAACTGACCTCCTCCAAAGGTCAGAGGGGAGGATTTTTGGATAATCTGTATTGTGCCTATATATGAACATGTCATTCAAAGCTATGTACTTTTTCTCAAAATGTTAATATATATAAATTGTAGAACAAAGAAGATACATTAATAAAACCTTTAACATGTTCAGAATAAATGTTGTTAAGATGAAAGGACAGATTCCCAAAAGTAAACGTGTGAATGATTCACATCATCCAAAGAAAAAATAAAGAGTGTGTCCTCCAAAAAGGAACTTAATTGTAGATCTGTGCCACAGTATGACTGCTTTTATACTTTCAGTAATTATATCATTTTATTATTTCCTGTTTTTAACCAATTACTTGGAGTAACTGAAACATTATCTTTCTACCAATGTAGATTACAGGAGACACCAGAAACACTGAAATAGAAAATGGTTTATATCAGAGATAAAAAAAACTGAGCTCTTGCCAGGCATGGTGACTCATTCTTATAATCCCAGCTACTTGGGAGACTGAGGCAAGAGGATTGCAAGTTGGAAGCCAGACTGGGTAGCTTAGCAAGACACTGTCTCAAAATAAAAATTTAAAAAGGGCTGAGATGTAACTCAGTGATAGAGCACTTGCCTACTTGAGTTTATTCTCCAGTACCATACACACACACACACACACACACACACACACACACACACACAGACACACAGACACACACATACTTACATGAGTTCTTGCCTACTATTTTGATGTTAATATTAACCTTTTCTGCTATTGTTTTATTATTATTATTATCATCATTATTATTATTTTGGTGCTGAGGATTGAACCCATGGCCTTGTGCCTCTGAACCAAGCACTGTACCAACTGAGCACCCAGATCCATTTGTTTATTTTTAGGAATATGAAATATAGGGAAGAAAAATAACTACCTACCAAACTTCAAAAAAACTGATCAAAATATTGGCAGTAGTCTTCAGGCAGATGTTTCTAAACATTAATAAAAATTTATTGAGGTCCAGGGATGGAGCTTAATGGTAGAGTGTTTGCCTAGCATGTTCAAGGCCCTAGGTTTAATCTTTAGCATAGTTGCGAATTCCTCCAACCCTAAACCTTCCCCCCAAAATATTGTAAGTCTAGGATCATTTGTTAATCATAATTCCAATGTGTATATTAATAACTAAACCTAAGTAATTTTAATATCTCATAGGTAATGTATAAGTGTGAGTCCACCTCATTTGTTTTTACTAAAATTTAATAATTAGCCATTTAGTAGTCTTTGTTGTCAAATATCTGTATATATTTCAGTTATTAACTCAAATGGTTGACCTAAATATCTCAGAGACTCTGGGGAAATCCTGAAATATCTTTTATTGAAATACATATTTATCTGAAAGATATATAAGTGAAAATATCCAGTGGAAGTGATGTTATAACCTAATACCAATGTGAGACTTACATTTGCTCTAATTAAAATGAAATCTTGGATTCCTCCTGGGGTTCTTAAGGCATCATGATGTTGCCTTAAATCTAAAAAGAAGCAAAGGGTACCATTAAGAAATACAATCGTACTAAATATTTAATCTTTCTGGTGACATATTTAAAACAATTATAAACCCCAAATATGCCAAGAAACACTTGGCTGATTCATTAATTGGAATCATTTTCTTGCCCTGTGATGCTTGGATTAAAGTCTGAACTTCAAGAGTTGACTAGCATACTATTATTTTTAACTTCCTTTTGACGATTTGTGACAGTCTCAGTATGATACATAATTTGTTAGATCTTATGATGAAAAAAATGCAAGTTCTTTCTTTTGATTCTTATAGGCAGAAGTGTGGTTCTGTAGGCTTTTTATACATTTTCATATATGATCAAGATTTAAAATTTTTAAATTGTAAGAAAAAATCTAATTGCTAGTCGCTATGTAAGTTTTTATGACCTACTAAACTTTGGTATAGGACATTATTTTATAACATAACAATGTTTATTACAATCACTGATGTACTATAACAAGTAAGTGACTGATAGGTTTCTGTCCTTTGATTTGTTTCTTCTTTGGGAGGTAGAAATGGATAGGCCTTGCTTAAGTGGCACTCATAAATTAGGAAGAAAAAAATAAGCCTATTCCAGATTGCTGGGATGTGTGGCTACTTTTTTCTCTCCATCCTTTTTGTCATTCATCCCTCAGTTTTCTTCTCCAAAAAAACTTCTCAGTCATCCCAGGTTTCTAAGCATCAAATATATTAATTTATACCTAGTGAAAAAGGTGAGGTCCTGATAGAGAATAGGAAGGTCTGCCAACCTGCTAGTGCATTGTGCTTCTTAATCAGTTTTGGATTATCAGATGTTTTGAAAACTTGAAACCTCCTCATAAAAATGTACAAAACCCACACATAAATTCTAGGAGTTTCATAGATCCCACCCACCCACCCACATTTTGCAGCTCAGACGAGTTGCAGAATTCCTTTAAGCTTCTGTTTGTTCATCTGTATAATAGATAAAAAACTCTGTCCCCGATTCATGGGTATTTTAGAAGAATATGAGCATTTGCGTGGAAACAGTTGAAAATAAATGTGTTACAGAACAAATTTTGTTACAATAAGATAGAAAATATGTGCATATAATATTCTTTTATATATTACATATATATATATATTCTTTTATTGAAATTTTGCCTAAAGTAGTTGTTTCCCTACCTGGTTTTCACAATTTTTATATTATATACTTATGGTTTCATGGACTTGTATTCTATCATAACAATTTATATGTGTGTATATAAATAAATGGTAACACTATTTTCAGCTGTTTTAGTTTACCTATATCAATGGTTATACCTCTCAAGTTGTAGCATATATTATAACTATAGAAGATTTGAATCTTGAATAAAAAATATCTAGGTAGGGAAGTTTCTTCTATTTTGGATGAATGAATACTTGTGGTAGCTGTAGGGTGATACAATATATAATTAAAGATAATTGGATGATCTTAGGAAAATTCAGAGTCAGTTTGTATAAACCATGGTTATTGTGTTAAATCACGTTAAGATAAATCCAAAACATCAAAGTGAGTATTACACTACAGTTGGTACATATTGGAGACAGAGGGTCTTATAACATCTTTCTTTAATGGATTTTGTTGTTTGTTTTGGGTTTGGGGTGGGTTTTGGTCCTGGTGATCCAACCCAGGACCTTGCATTTGATAACACATGCTGTGCCACTGCGTTACGTCCCCAGCCTAGTTTCTTGTTTTTTAACTTGATGAGAAGCACTATTATTTGGGAAATAATCTGACTTTTAGAGGTTAATTTACAGAGATTTCTGCAGTGGTGTTTCAATATTAACATGAACCAGATCATTGGGCTGATATTTCTTGAGAATTTTCTGACATTTAACCTTTAAATTCTAGTGCTAACCTGTTCTTAAAATTTCCAGAATGTATTTTTCCATTTGTAGCATATAACATATATATTCTAAGGGCTTTTTTTTTTTTAAACTTGCATTAATGTGGTAGATTCCCACTTGATTTCTCAGAATATTAATAATTTAACCATGTTGGGGTTTTGTTACATTTTTTTCTTTTAACTAAATGATGTTTATTAGTATTATATATACATTAGTATCCTTCCTATTTTAGGATGCACATTCTCAAGGTGAGGTGGTATCATGCTTGGAGAAAGGCCTGGTGAAGGAAGCAGAAGAAAAGGAACCCAAGATTCAAGTCTCTGAACTCTGTAAGAAAGCCATTCTCCGGGTGGCTGAGCTGTCCTCGGATGACTTTCATTTAGACCGGCATTTGTATTTTGCTTGCAGAGATGATCGGGAGCGTTTTTGTGAAAATGTGAGTCAGCCTAGAAGCTGTTCTTCTTTCTTCCTTTTCTTTTTAAATATCTTTAATACTGTATTCCAAAATAAAATAAACCACAACAAACCCTCAGATGCAGAAAAGCCATAGAAATGAGAGATGGAGTCAGTTCTAGGATAACAGAAAACACTGTTGGATGCTCAGCCTAGATGATTTATCATCTTGTTAACAGTTGGCTTCTAATAGTCTCCACACATTATTTTTTCTACTTTGTCTCACTTATCAATTTCAATTCTTCTGTCTATTTTATCTGTAGAAATTTTATTTTATTGCGGAATTCTGTTCACATTTATTATATGGTTAAAACTGACACATGCATATTTACATGGTTTGGGCTAGTACCTACTTTAAAAGCCAAATTCTTGATTACTACCTGATGACCCTTTAGACAACTCCCCTCCCCCCCCCCGCCCCCCGTGCTTGGGATTGAACCGGAGGCTTTGAGTATGGGGGGCAAGTGCTCTATGTCACTGAGCTGTGCCCCTATATCCTATAGACAACTTTCTGACACTTTATAGTCTACATTCTCACATCGAAAGACTGAGAGTGACTTGTATATACTTCCTCTCTGCCTGCTGTTTTGGATTAACACATTAACTTTCAGAGCCTCTGAAGAGTTTCTGTTGGTGCTAGGGATTAAACCCAGGGCCTTATGCATGGGAGGCAGGCACTCTACCAACTGAGCTATATCTGTAGCCCTGATTGTTTTATTGATGCTAAAAGTTGTAAGAAAGGAGATTTATTTGACACTTCTCTTTGTTCTCTAACTGTATTTTCTAGAAAGTTTTATATGAGATCGTAGATGATGCACAGTTCCTTAGTAGTTACTTAGCTAATAGTAATAATAACAACAACGTGTGTGTTTTATCTTACAGACACAAGCTGGTGAAGGCAGAGTGTATAAGTGCCTCTTTAACCATAAATTTGAAGAATCCATGAGTGAAAAGGTATTAATTTGGAACAACTTTATTAATTTCTTTTTCTTTTTTTTTTTTGTACCAGAGATCAAACCCAGGGGTGCTTAACACTGAGGCACATCTACAATCCCCTCCCCTTTTAATATTTATTTTTTTAATAAATATTAGGTAGACACAATAACTTTATTTTATTTTATGTGGTGCTGAGGATCGAACCCAAGGCCTCATGCATGCCAGGCGAGCGCTCTGCCTCTGAGCCCCAGGCCCTGCAACCCTTTTTTAATTTTAATTTTGAAACAGAGTCTCTCTAGGTAGATGAGGACCTCTCTTAGTTGTTAAGGCTGGCCTCAAGCTTGTAGTCCTCCTGCCTCAGCCTCTCAAGCTGCTGGGATTATAGGCATGTCCCACCACACCCAGCTATTAATTTCTTAAAAGCTTTCACAAACCCTTTATATAGTTGCCTCACAGTTTCCACAGGAGGGTTAGTTCCAGGACCCCTGAAGATACCAAAATCTAAGGATGCTCAAGTCCTTTATGTAAACAGGCATAATGTTTGCATATAACGGGGCACATTCTCTGTATGCTCTAAATCACTCTAGGTTAGTTACAATATTTAAATAATGTAAAAAAAAATAATGTGAAATATTATATAAATGTGCCTCACAGGTAAACAGCTTTTTAATTTTTTAGTAATATCTCATTAAACATTCTTATTACTGTTTTGTCTTGGAATGAATGCCTACCCATTTACTCCTGCCTTATGTCACACTGGTTTCACTTACCTGTGCTAAATTTTAACCAAATGTAAAGACCAGCATTTTAGACTACAGATATTATATATGCTTGCCTGTGAGTCTCCATGCTTGTCTCAGAAATTCTTGTGAACAGCGTGAGTGGTCTTACAGCTCTCTTGCTGTGTTCTTTCTTCAGTGTCGAGAAGCACTGACAACCCGACAAAAGCTGATTGCCCAGGATTATAAAGTCAGTTATTCATTGGCCAAATCCTGTAAGAGCGACTTGAAGAAATATCGGTGCAATGTGGAAAACCTTCCTCGGTCCCGGGAAGCCAGGCTCTCCTACCTTCTAATGTGCCTAGAGTCAGCTGTACACAGAGGTAAGAATTCATTTCTTTTTATCCCTTTTTAATAATTAATAATGCAAATGCAAAAAATTATATTTGTATACCTTGTTCAGATTTGTATTCTAAAGCTTCTTGTTTCCTAGTATTCTTTTTTTTTTTTTTTTGGTACCGGGGATTGAACTCAGGGACACTCCACCACTGAGCCACATCCCTAGCCCTATTTTTAATTTTTATTTAGAGAGAGGGTCTCACTGAGTTGCTTAGGGCCTTGCTTTTGCTGATCAGACTCCCAAGTTGCTGGGGTTACAGGCATGTACCACTGCACCCTGCCAGTATTAATTTTTAAACACATATTGTGTAGCATTTTTAGGAGGATTAGGGTAACATAAATATTTCGTGTGTGAGCTCTGGGTCAGAGATACTTGACTTCAAGTTATGGCTATATCACTAAACTAACTGTCTGGGTGGCCATTTTTATGTTTTTTTTGTTTTGTGTTGGTTTTTTTTTTTTTTTTTTAAAGAGAGAGAGAGAGAGAAATTTTTAATATTTATTTTTTAGTTCTTGGCGGACGCAACATCTTTGTTTGTATGTGGTGCTGAGGATCGAACCCGGGCCGCAGGCATGCCAGGCGAGCGCGCTACCGCTTGAGCCACATCCCCAGCCCCAGTTTTTTTTTTAAATCTCTCTTACATTTTCCCAATGGCATTTACAGCACAATAAAGCAAGGGTGGTGATGGCTAGAGTGAATATTTACAGTATAGTCTTTTGTACAAGCTTTAACTGTGTAAGCCAATGAGGATTGTTTTTTAGCTTTCATTTATACCCCTAACGGTTCTCTTATTGATAAAACTCTTTGATAATCTCTGTCAGTGGTTGAGCATGTGCTAATACGGATATGGTCCCGAGTTCAGTCCCCAACACCAAGAAAAAAACAACCTACATATTTCCTTTGGCAGAGCATTTGCATTATTAGTTTAGGAAATACATGTGTGTGATAAAGAATACTGGCAGAATAAACCTGAGTTTCTGGAGTCTCCATGCGCTTTATGCTGCTAAAGCTTTTGCTGAGTCCTAAACTTTTCAGTCTGGATATTGTATGACTGGCCTGTTCTAGACAGAAACAATTTTTTTTTAAGACTTTTTTTTAACTTGTAGATGGGCACAATACTTTATTTATTTATACGGTGCTTAGGATGGAACTCAGTGCCTTACGCAGGCGAGACAAGCGCTCTATCACTGAGCCACAACCCTAGCCCAGAAACACAATTTATTTATTTATTTTAGTTGTAGTTGGACACAATACCTGTATTTTATTTTACTTATTTTTTAATGTGGTGCTGAGGATTGAACCCAGGGCCTTGCACATGCTAGGCAAGCACTCTTCCACTAAGCCACAACCCCAGCCCCTAATTTAAAAAAAAAAAAAAGCCTTTATTTTATTTATTTTTATGTGGTGCCGAGGATCAAACCCAGTGCCTCACACATTCGAGGCAAGCGCTCTACCCCTGAGCTACAACTCCAGCCCCAGAATCATATAATTAATATGTGGTGATTTCTGATCCTAATTTAGGGCGACAAGTCAGCAGTGAGTGCCAAGGGGAGATGTTAGATTACCGACGCATGCTGATGGAAGACTTCTCTTTGAGCCCTGAGATCATCCTGAGCTGTCGAGGAGAGATTGAGCACCACTGTTCTGGATTACATCGGAAAGGGCGAACCCTGCACTGTCTAATGAAAGTTGTTCGGGGGGAGAAGGGGAACCTTGGAATGAACTGCCAGCAGGCGGTAAGGAAATTTCTTCTACTGCCACCTTGACTGTCACATTTTATTAGCTAATTGGCCTCGCCCTGACACTGTCCCAGCTTGCTTTTTCTCTATCATTTCTGTCATCACAGTGGAACATTAGGTACTAAGGACCAGACAGAATCTGGTTTCTTTGAGCATTTATTAATAGGAAAATGGAATTTCCTTGCAGAATAAAAGTTAGAGCTCATAATCAACAAAAAGAGCAATATACTATAAAGAAAATGCATTGTTTACTATAGTTTCTAAAGAAAGGGTCATCACATGCTCTACTAAATTTACTGAACTCGTTGAACCAGGTTCTGATGAATCAATAAAGGGCTTTAACCTCTCCATACATTTTATTGAGCCGAATGTGAAAGTGAATTGACATGAGCTGAAACTTCTAAGAGTGTCTTTTTATTACTGATATGCAGCATGGCCTAAAGTATCAAGAAAGCATGTTATTTTCAAAATTGCACCATTTTCTCTTTAAGTTTTTTTTTTTTTTTTTTTTTTGTAGTTATAGATGGACAGTTACCTTTATTTTATCTGTGTATGTTACTAACCGTCAAACTCAGGCCTCGCACATGCCAGGCAAGCCGCTCTTCCACTGAGCTATAGCCCCAGCCCACACCACCTTTTCTTATTTGACTAGGGCACTGTGAGTAGAAGGTTCTCCTTTTGCCACCCCCAAATTTTACAGTGGATTCTATAAAGCTAATTGGAAGAATTCACACACTTTTGTTTAATCCAACTTAATAAAAAGTTGAGTTACTACAAATGAGATACTTGATGTAGTTAAAACATTTCAGTATATTGTATCTGTTTTATTACTGTTGTATTTGGTTTTTTTTTTTTTAACTAGATACTAGTCTTTGAATAGTTTAAAATACCAAATAAAATAGTAGTACTCTCTACAATGAACTTTCCTTTTGAAAGCACAAGGATATTTTAGATATCCTAAAGTAGAAAGTTGAGGCTTTATCCTAAATGAAACTTTAGAAAACTACAATTAACCTTTTATTTTATAACTGAAATTTTTATTAAAAACTAAGTATTACTTGAATTTTATTTTCCTGCTAATCATGTAAAAAATTCAGAATTTTATAGTTGGAAGCAAAATTTTACCGACTGAAACATAGATTTAGACATGGAATAAAGTTTCATCAGACAGAAGTGTGCATAGTTGTATGTGAACATCCCATGGTAGAAAAAATAGACAAATGTAGCCTCTTCTAGAATACCAGACCCAGCCCAGCGTGGTGGCACACATCTGTAATACCAGTGACTTTGGAGGCTGAGAAAGAGGATTGCAAGGTCAAGGCCAGCCTCAGCAACTTAATGAGGCCCTAAGCAATTCAAAAAAAAAAAAAGGGCTAGGGAGGGACTGGGGTTGTAGCTCAGTGGTAGAGCACTTGCCTCTCGTGTGAGGCCCTGGGTTCGATCCTCAGTACCACATAAAAATAAACAAACAAAAATAAAGATATTATGTCCAGCTACAACTAAAAAAAAATATTTAAAAAGGGGAGCGGTTTGGGGATGTGGCTCAGTGGCTAAGCATCCCTAGGTTTAATCCTCAGTACCAGTGAATGAATCAATGAATGAATAAAAAAATCCCAGGCCCAGCTAGAAGAATAGCTTCTAGAATCTGCTGTGGTTTGAGTTTGTCACTATGTAGTTCCTTAGGAGCAGTTCTTGCTGGTGATTGCCCTAGGAAACCTCTGTGCCAATAAATGTGCCTGGGCCCCAAATCAAGAATGAATTGGGGGCTGGGGATGTGGCTCAGTGGCAGAGCGCTCGCCTCGCACGTGCAAGGCCCTGGGTTCGATCCTTAGCACCACATAAAAATAAATAAAATAAAAGTATTTAAAAAAATGTATTGGGAGACAGCCTTTATTTGCCCTTCATCCTTAACTCAGAACAGAAAGTTGTGGAGGGAAGTCAGAAGTAAGCCTGTCTTTTTACTCAGCCTAGACCTGTAGTGAAGTGTACAGAAAAAAAGAAAATAGACTGATTTAACTTTATTTTCAGGCATCTAGTTCACCCCCAGGGCTTTTTGGAATTTAGCCTGTTGAAAAAACTAGTGACTCAACTTGAAAGATAAATAAGTACCGCCCATGGCAGCCTTTGTGCTCAGAAGAAAGCGCTTTCCAAACCTAGAGGGTAGCCTCAAATAGCGAGCTCTGGGGTTTTGCCCACATGAAGACTTGGCAAGTAGAAAAGAAATACTTTATTTTTTATTTTTTCTCACAAAAAACTGAAGATATTTCTTCAAAGAAAGAAAATTTTGTAGTCTTCCCCTGCATTATCCATTCTCAATCAAACAGAGTAATATTTTGAAGCAATTTATTTTCAGACTTTTCTTCCTTGACATCAATACCTGTCTGTGGTTAACCATTATTTTTCACTCCTCTCTGCTTGGACTGATTTAGTAATAGCTCAGCAAGTAGTAAACTGTAAAGCATAAGGATAATTATTATCTTTTTTGGGGGGGTACTGAGGATTGAATTCAGGGGCACTTGACCATTGAGCCACATACACGTAGGGCTCACTGAGTTGCTTAGCGCTTCACTGTTGCTGAGTCTGGCTTTGAACTGTGGATTCTCATGCCTCAGCCTCCCAAGCCACTGGGATTATAGGGGAGTGCCACCACACCCAGTCATGAACTATTAACTTCCCTTCAGGCCTGGCTATATGAGTTTAGGCGAGCCTCTTCCAGATCAAAAGTGACTGTCCAGTTTATCTGTAGACTATTCATTTCTCCAAAGCTTTTTCCAGGTTTTCGTAAGCATGTCAGGGGTTGGAATAGATTTGCTGTCATCAACTAATCGTGGTCTTTTTTATGTTTTCCAAATTGTCATCAAGAATTGATAACTTCCATTACAGAATTCAGGAAATCTTTCATGTTTCTCTCTTGATTATTGACTTCTTTTAACATAATAGAATAGGGTTTTTTCTTCATTTCCTTTGATCTGCAATCTCTGATAAATAGGGATTTATCAGATGATATCAATCCTATGGGATTGCAGGTCAGAGGATAACAGATCAGAAAAAGGTCCTAGAGAGGGTAAGTCAATGACACAAAAAGGCCTCCAGTTCTTTTACTTGGAAAAAGATAACTTAAACCAATAAGAATTGTAGTTTTCAAATTTTTTTTCTCTTATTTAAGATCACCTCCCCTTGGGGCTGGGGATGTGGCTCAAGTGGTAGCGCAATTGCCTGGCATGCGTGCGGCCCGGGTTCGATCCTCAGCACCACATACCAACAAAGATGTTGTGTCCGCCGAGAACTAAAAAATAAATATTAAAAAAAAAAAAAAAAAAAGATCACCTCCCCAAACACCATATGTCACCCATCTGTAGTAAAATGATCTTTTATGTCTATAAAATGCTTTGCAATGTACCCATTCTTTTCCCAGATAGTATAATTTCTTATATTCTGCAGCTAAAGGAAACCAAAACTTGGAGATTAATCAACTTGAACATGTTCTCAAAGCTAATATTGAGCAGAGCCAGAGCCATTGATAGAATTCATGTCTTCTGGTCCTTGTTTTGGAGTTTTTTTCCTCTGTGCCTCAACTACCTTCTTCTGCATTGAATTTATTCCATGGCAAAGGATGAACCAAGCAAAAGTAGATGATAAAGAATATCATATTCATCCAGGTGAGGTGGCACACCCTGTAATTCCAATGGCTCAGGATGATGAGGCAGGAGGATTGTAAATTCAAGGCTAGCCTCAGCAACATAGCAAGGCCTTAAGCAACTTCATGAAACTCTGTCTCATGAAGCATACCTGGGTTCAATCTCCCATATCAAGGCCTTGAGCCATGCTACGCAAGTGTTATACCACTCAGCTACAGTCCTCCTGCCTCAACACCTCCAGTAACTGGGATTATAGGTGTGTAGCACCATACCCAGAAGTATACTAGTTTTAATACCAATATGATTCCAGCAAATTCTAAATTCATTTTAGGACTGAATTAGGTCTGTAACTAGATATGTCTTCTCATTACTCTCCTCCGCTCAACTCTGGCTTGGCCCAAGAGGTTTAGTAATCTGATAACAAGTGAGCACATAAGGAGGGAGAAGTAGCCTTCAGGTCACATTATAAAGATGTGTTCTTTTTTTTTTTTTAAATATTTATTTATTTTTTTAGTTCTCGGCAGACACAACATCTTTGTTGGTATGTGGTGCTGGGGATCGAACCCGGGCCGCACGCATGTCAGGCGAGCGCGCTACCGCTGAACCACATCCCCAGCCCAAGATGTGTTCTTATGCAGATGGTTTGGAAGCAGTAGATAAAGCCATTTTCACAATGACTTGAACAGAAAAACTTGGATCAAGGTGGACAAAACAGTTGAAAAGTATTTGGCAGAAGTTCTTGAGCTTGGCCTGTGACAAGTGTAGTACTTTGTTAAAGTACGTTGTGATGTACTAGACTGAGAAATCATTGTATGATGGAATGACACTGCTATTCTCTGGTGCCTAGGTGACTTTCTTTCTTCCTTCTTGATCTTCTTTTTTTTTAAATCCAGCTGCAAACACTGATTCAGGAGACAGACCCTGGTGCAGATTACCGCATTGATCGAGCTTTGAATGAAGCTTGTGAATCTGTAATACAAACAGCCTGCAAACACATACGATCTGGAGACCCAATGTAGGTTATCTTATTTGTGTGTTCATCCATATTGCATTTTACTTGGCAGCACAGGGAACTTTTCCTCAAATGACGTTTGTGTGATTTAACATCTTGACTAAAATTTTGTGGAGTAGGAACACATACAGACTTTTGCTAAAACTTGGAATTCAGACTTCTGATCTGCCTCCTCCATGTAGAAGAGACACTTAGAAACAGTACCATGATGATGCTTGTTGACAATGACTGAGAGTGCATGGGCCTGTTAGGCCACTGAGCAACTATAATGCTGATGAAAATGAGAGAAAAAAATATTCAAGATAAAGTGATACATACACTGAAACTCTGTACTTTTCATCCTATTTATATATTGACTCATTGCACACATTGGCTACTTGATAATTATCAGAAAGCAGTTCATTGTAATTGAAACAAAACAAATGTGGTAGTAGGAGCATGTAGTCATGGCAGAATGAACACTAGAGTTGCATCTAAGATCTAGGAAAGCTGAATAAATGTTATAGAAAAGCATTTTATTCTCTTGCATTAGTTTTCTTCTATATGATGTGAAAACTGTTCTCAAAACCAGGTTGCAAGTAAGAACAGGTTTTCCATTCTGCAAAAATCTTTATAGCTTGTAGCTAATAGTACCTAGCAATAAAGTGAAGAGAATCCCGGTTTATCTTGAATCTGCTGTGTGAAAATTCCTTATTGCTTAATAAGAATATTTAGCAATATAAAGATAAATGCATCAACCAAAAAGGGCGCCAGAGAGGAGGAGGAAGAAAGGGAACTGCTATGGATTCAGAGATTTAAGACATTTTTCAGTTGAATGCAACGTGTGGGCCTTTGCTGGGTCCTAATATGAACAAACGTGTAAAAAGATATGAGATATGGGGCTGGGGTTGTGGCTCAGTAGTAAAGCACACGTGAGGCCCTGAGTTCGATCCTCAGCACCACATAAAAATAAATAAACAAAATAAAGGTTAGAAAAATATATATATGAGGTAATTGGGAAAATCTGAAAATGATCAGGATATTACGTGATATTAAAGATTTTTTATTTCTTGGTAAGGTCACTATGGTATTTTGATATTTTCGAGAAACCTTCTGAATTGAATGAATGAAATGATTTGCTATCTCAGATTTTCTTTAAAATATCAGCAGGGGGAATAGAGTTAAAATGAACTTGGCCACTCTGTGAGGAGGTTAAAGTGACCAGTATATCATTCTCTACTTCTGTGAATTGGAAATTTTTCATAATAAATAGTTAAAAATAAAGTAGCACAGATCTTATGTACACCAGGTTCTAAGTGCTGAATGGCTCTGATGTTGATAAAAGATGTAATTGCTATCAGGCTGAATTGATTTGTATGATTCTAAGAAAAATAAATCCAATTGCTGTAGGAAAATAGCTGAAGGGCTTTTTCTACTGACCAAGGAAATATTATATTGAAGTGAGAGTTCGGAAACTGTAGTCAGAGCTCTTCTCTTGTTACAATTTTACCTTCTTTATGGTTAGGATCCTTTCATGCCTGATGGAACATTTATACACAGAGAAAATGGTGGAAGATTGTGAACACCGACTCTTAGAGCTGCAGTATTTTATCTCTCGGGATTGGAAGTGAGTATTTTGAACAATGTAAGGCACTGATTTAACCTGTTCTTTGTGTTGTCAGAGAGAGAGAGAGAGAGAGAGAGAGAGAGAGAGAGAGAGAGAGAGAGAGAGAGTGTGTGTGTGTGTGTGGGGGGGGGGGGTTTAGTGCTGGGCTTTGAAACTAGGGCCTTGTACAGTCTGTACCAAGCATCCCTGTGCACCACTACTTTGGAAATCAGGGTCAGAATGGTTCTGATACCACAAACACTATCTAGAAAGAACTCTGGCATCTGTGGGGTCAACAAAACCATCTTCAGATATGACATTAGGAAGATGATAATGCATTTGTGTCTATTGATTTACACTGGGTATGGGAATTTGTTTTTATTTCTTTACTGTTTAAAGTTATTGAATTTATTCTATCTTGAGAGATGACAACCTGATTCTTTAATTCCCTTCTCATCCTGTTAGCAAAAAAAAAGGGGGGGTGGGGCTGACATAGGAGAAGGATCTCTGTTATAGTTAGAATCATTGTGGTTTATTGGCTGCATTTCCATCCTTCTTCCATGTTTTGATTTCTTTCCCACTTCCATAGCCACCTGTACTGGGTCACACTACTTTGTAAGTTTAGGTGCTTCCTGATTCAGTCGTTTAAGCTACTGTATTGTGGTCATTAGCCTTTTCTGGTGACTACATTTTGCCTTCAGTGTTTTAATAGAAATTACTTGAAGATCCAATATGTTTTTATTTCTATCCCTTCAAATTAACTCAGGAAAGGACTGCAGAAAGCTGGGTGGTAACTGCCCTGTGCTTCCTCAGGCCCTCAGAACTGAAATAACCAAGAGTACTGAGTATGCCCCCTTGATCAAAACTATGGTTTCCCCTCTTTATTCTTTCCCCCATGATCAAAAAATTACTTCATAGTCTTAAAAGTGTCTTCTTAAATATTAGCTTCTCTCTTCCCATTATGTAACCCTTCCTCACAGTTAACAATATAATGTGGAAAGAATCAACACTCCCTTGATCTGATTTAAAGAAGCAGGCTCATCATCTAACCCACTGTCCCAAGATTCAAAGTTAAATGTCATGTTTTATAATTTTATAAACATATTTAGGTAAACTAAAAGATGACTGTTTTACCTTGTATGGGAAAAGAAAGAGGAACAGTATTACTAGAGAGAAAGTTGAGTAGGAGACAGTTTCCTCACCTTTCTGGATCTGGTCTATCAGAGAGGAAGATGTATTTAGTGACAAGTTGTGAATTTCTTGGTGGCTATAACCCTGGCTTTCTTTTGTGACCTAGACATGTGAATGCTGAGTCTTACTGTAACGTTAGGTAACTTCCATAACCAAGATAAAATCTTTGAGGTAGAAAGTGGACTTCAATATGAAGTTAACAAACTTCTACAGATTGACCACCATGTGTCCACTAAGAGCAGCATTCAGGAACATACTTCTGCTTACCTACTGTCTCTGCTATTCTGGAGGTGATTATCAGTGAGTACATCAGCAAGCATCTGCTGAAAACCCATAGCCTATCTGAGAAGGAAAATTGTTACTCTTTGTCTTCTAGGCTGGATCCTGTCCTCTACCGCAAGTGCCAGGGAGATGCGTCTCGTCTTTGCCATACCCATGGTTGGAACGAGACCAGTGAACTTATGCCTCCCGGAGCTGTGTTCTCTTGTTTATACAGACACGCCTACCGCACCGAGGAGCAGGGAAGGAGGGTATGCAGTCAACTTTGGTTTCTTCCTGTCATTTGTTGTTTTTTTGTTTGTTTGTTTTTGTTTGTTTGTTTAGTTTTTTTTTAATATTTTTACTTATAGGTGCACACAATATCTTTATTTTACTTTATGCGGTGCTGCGGATCGAACCTAGTGCCTCACGCATGCTAGGCGAGTGCTCTACTTCTGAGCCACAACCCCAGCCCTGTCATTTGTTTATTTATGGGGAGGATGTTGTTGTTCTTCTAGAAAGTTCTTCATTTATCGAGCATCCCTGCAGTTGCTCACCCACTTCTTTTCATCTGATTATGTTTTTAACGAAGTGAGTGGGTGAACATATCCAGGTTTTTTCTTTAAATTACTAAAATCTGAATCATAAATGGACAATTAAAATTCTGGTCCTAACTTTATTTAGCTTTAAAGATCCATTAGAAGCTTTTAGCCAGGATACAAATGGTTCTTTAGGCTTTTGCCCCTGACAGCTGAACACAAATGCCTGTACTAATGAGGCTTCTCTGACAATGCACCAGTTGAAACAGAAACTTCCACACCCCAGTCTCTTGGTATTTGCCCCATTGCTGCTTTTGGGTGTGGTTTTTGTGTATCCTTGGCTCTCAGGCAGCATTGACTGCCTGCTAGTGCCTCACTGGCATCCTGGTTGCTCTCCAGAAGGACTTTTTTCACACCTTCTGGGAGACCCCTACTTGCATACATGTCAGTTCTGCATTTGTTAGGAAAGCGTGGCATTACTTCATGAGCTTGTTTACAAGTACCCCTTCTGAGCTCAGTGCCCAGATCTATCTGACTATCTAGGATTCAAAAGAGGAGGACTGAAGTAGAAAAATGTACTTCAGTTGCTATTAGTCTAACCCAGTTTTCTACAGCTATGTAAGAAAACATGGGACTTGTTTTATATTTTACTTCGTGTAATGAGCCTCTCATTAACTACAGGGGCTCCCAAATCCTGGCATCTAGCTAGTCACTATAGTAGGAGGTTCTAGCTCTTACAAATGAAGAAAGGGATGGAATCTGATATGCTAGCTTTTTTTTTTTTTTTAAATAAACACTTGAAGTATTGAAGTGAAATTCACAATATAAAATTAACCAGTTTAAAGAGAAAAATTCAGTGGCATTTGAAAAATACATTAACAATATTGTGTACCACCAGCTCTGTCTAGTTTCAGAACATCACATGACTCCAAACACTAAGAAATTAAATCTGTATTTCTTGCCTTAGGTGTGCTGCCTTCTTTAGGAAGAGACATTTGTACCTGTCAATGACAGCTTTTTATGGCCCTTCCAAAACTATCAGTTTCTACCTGCTTCACCTCTACTCATGCCACATAATTCATCTAGAAGAATCTGGCCTGGTCTGACTGGCTCCTGCAGTTGCCTGCCTCATTGTGAGGAACTGAGAATGAACTGAGCTCAGATGGAACTTAGTTCTCCTAAATCAAGTGTTATTCTTCCTGAAACAGATCTGATATTCTCTCCTACCCATAGAATGGCAAGTTAACTTTGCAAACCAGAAACTAACTAACCTAATCTGTATGAATTCAATTCATTTTTAAAACTTTTTTTAATATTTATTTTTTAGTTGTAATTGGACACAGTACCATTATTTTATTTATATGTGGTGCTGAGGATTGAACCAAGGGCCTCCCACATACTAGGTGAGTGCTCTACCACTGAGCAACAACCCCAGCCCCTAATTTAATTCATTTTTATCAGGATATTTTATTATGCTAAATGTATGATCATACTTCTAGAGATATGGACTTTTAAAAGGCTCCTGGAACATGTAATTCTTATTCTGGAAGAGATTTGAGGTATAAAGTTTGGAAGATAAACTACAGAGATATTTTTTAGTTTCCTGAGAACAGCTTTGCTCTGTCTGGTGTCTTCATGTATATGTTTTGGTACTTTTAAAGTAAATTGTTAATTGATTGTCACATAGCTCTCCCGGGAGTGCCGAGCTGAAGTCCAAAGGATCCTACACCAACGTGCCATGGATGTTAAGCTGGATCCTGCCCTCCAGGATAAATGCCTCATAGATCTGGGGAAATGGTGTAGTGAGAAAACAGAGACTGGGCAGGTAGGCAACTGGGCTTCCTGTTTGTTTTTTACTGTTAATGGCAATGTTTTATGACTTACAGTGAGATCCATCTTGGTGTTTGCTTTACAGCCTTGATTTATTATACCGTTCGTATTCTCTGTAGAAGAAATTCTCAGGAAAATGTTCTTTGGTCTTTATATCAAGAATAATTGTCTTTTTCCCAAGTAGCTACTTTTTTTCCTATATTATGGTTACTATATTTTGTAATTGATTATTTTCCCTCTTTGTGTTGGTTCTTACAAGGCTTAGAGCCAAAGGTTCAGCTACCTCTAACTAGCATATAGGGTTTCATAGTAGGCCTTCTTGTATCAGGCTTGTTTATTGCTAGTTCCATTCCACTTTTCTTTTTTTACTCATTTTTAATTTTATTTTATCTTGCCTTTTTATTCCTGTTCTCACCTTTATAAACCACATTAAATCCTTCTGAAATAAGCAAAGTATTATTCATATACAAATATTGGCATGCATGAATAGTGTGCATGCCCCAGAACAGCACAAGATATCTGGAAATGGAATTATTTTTTTCCACCTAGTTGACCAAATAGAGGCTCAGATAAGTAAAATGTGTTGACCACTTTCCTAAAACTCAGGTTTAATCTGAGTGAGGTACTCATTCCCTTGTGTTATAAGCTCCCTGTAGAAAGTGCAAGGAACCCAGGGCCTCTCACATGCTAGGCAAGCGCTCGACCACTGAGCAACAACCCCAGCCCCGAATTTAATTCATTTTTTATTAGGATGTTTTATTTATTTATTTTTTTTCTTTAAAGATTGATGTGGCTTGAGCCACATCCCCAGCCCCATTAGGATATTTTATTATGCTGAATGTGTGATCATACTTCTAGAGATACAGACTTTTAGAAGCCAAGAGTTACACAGGCTGGGAATAGTTCCTTAGGATCATGTGCCTGGTTTGTGAGGGAAAGGGAAAAAATGGTACATGACTGGAGGTTACCTAGAAAGGAAGCGTTTTTTCTGTCATAAAGCAGGATAATCAGYAGTGAGAAATAGCTACTTGTTTAAAGCCACCATTAATATTAGAATAAGGAGTGAAGTCAGGCTGAATTTGTACAACTATAAAGCCCTTTCTGGAATTAAAGTATTAAAAAGCCACATGTATAGGAATTGGACATTTTAAAGAAGCAACGTTGCTGCCTACTAGGTCTATTTTCAGCAGTCTGCTGCCTGAAAGTGCTGTAGTTCTCAGGGTTTACTGTTAGAAAATGCCTATAATTTAGCTTTCTGCTGCATCCGTCCAGTGGAACAAAGGACATGTTGATATGGGATCCTGGGGAACAGTTTCCTTCATATTCCTCTGTAAAGTAAACATTTAGGAAGCTGCACATATTCACTGAGCAGCTAAACCTAAGAAAGGACTCCATAGATGAGTTTTTTTTCCTTAGCCATTTATTTATTTTACTCCCAAAAGGTTATTGCATTTTCCTTTAGGTTTCCCCCCCTTCCATTCTGATTATTGTATAATTCCTTCAACCCTTCTCCTCTCTTCCTATTCTAATTCTAAAACAGAGAGATTCCTGCAAAATGGTCAGTACATTAACCTGATCCCTTTACAGCACTCTTCTGAGAAGTAGCCATATTGCTTTGGGAAAGTGAGCTGATGTTGCACTTAAACCTCTGCTCCTCTAAGAGGAAAAATAATATACTAAGGCTACAGGGAAGCTTCAACTCAGTTTCAAAAGCGTGGACAAAATAGCTTTTAAATATCTAAACTCTAGCGTGCTCCCTTCTTTTTAAGTTTACCTTAGAGGATCCTTTTAATAAGTGCTGGATTCTTTTAATGTGAATCCTAGATCTGACTTGTAGGAACTTTAAGCTCTACCCTGTATTCCAAGTCCTCTGTCCCCATCTACTTTGCCCATGCAGAGTCTTAACATAATTCATGCCTTTCACTATGAATTTATTGTCCTGTGATCATTATCAAATTGCAGATTTAATATGGAAAGTAAAAAAATAATCAAAACACAGATAAAGGAGCTGGGGTGTGGCTCAGTGGTAGAGTTCTTGCCTGGCATGTGTGAGGAACTGGGTTCTGATTCTCAGCACCGCATATAAGTAAATGAACAAAGTAAAGGCCCATTAAAAAAAAAAAAAACAGATTAAGCCAGGCACAATGGCACACACCTCTAACCCCAGCAGCTCAGGAGGCTGAGGCAGAATGATCACAAGTTCAAGGCCAGCCTCCGCAACTTATACTTCTCAATAGTGAAACCCTGTCTCAAAATAAAAAATGGGTTGGAGATGTGGCTCAGGGATTAAGTGCCCCTGGGTTCAATTCCCAGTTCCCAAACAAACAAACAAAACCCCACAGATTAAAAGGGGAATGGCTGGGCTGGAGATAAAGCTCAGTTGGTAGAGTGCTTGCCTTGCATGCATAAGGCCCTGGATTCAATCCCCAGCACCACACACACACACACACACACACACACACACACACACACATGCACACACACACACACACAAAAAAAAAAAAAAAACCTGGAGTGGCAGGGTGTTGACAGAATGGAATAAAATCCTGATAAGATGTTTAGACTTTGAGGACCCTAAGTATGGATCTTGTTGGACTTCTAGATTTGGCCTCCTCTAATGTTTGCATTTCTGTACTCCCTTGGCCCTCTTAAGTACCCTGCTACAGAGAGTAATTATCTTTTCAACAATCTTAGTTTGGTGAATCAAATTAAACTTTTGTGTTCTATTCAGTGAGATAGTGATAGTTTTAAGAGGAAAAGGAGGACCAGTTCAAAAGAAGTAGAAACTGGTATTCTCAACTACTGTTGTTTGTTTATGTGACTGATGAATACCAAGGGCTTGCCTTTTTATGCACAGGAGCTTGAGTGCCTCCAGGACCATCTGGATGACTTGGCTGTGGAGTGCAGAGACATAGTGGGCAACCTCACCGAGTTAGAGTCAGAGGTAAGCCATATGCAGCTCCCTGGAGGAGATGGGCCTGCCAGCAGCCTGACCTTTTTGCTCAGTTCTGTTTCTGTACTCTTGAGAACACAGGTCCTCTGTCAATCAAAAGAAACCTAATCAGACCCTCCCCATTTGCTTCGTAAAAAAGTTTATTGGGTTGTTTCCTGACCCCTTCCCTCATTTCTCTAGAAAAACCCTGGATGCATTTGGCCCTTTGGTTTTCTTCATAGAGTTATCACAGTGACTGGACCCTTAAGAAAAGCTAGCTCCTACCCCTCTGATCTCTGAATCTCATTCAAGAGTAATCTAAGTGTTCCTCATCTCTTACCCTTTTTAGCTCTTTTAGTTAGGTCATTTGTAATTTTCAAATGTAATAAAGTAAAAGCCTGGGGCTGCCAGTTATACTTGACATTTGAACACATGTTTAGCCCTGTTCCATCCTGAAACCCACTAAAATATCAAACATAAGATTTAAAATCTTCATAGGCACAGGCATGTTATCCAGAACTACAGAGATTATTACTGTGGTGGGGAGACAGCCAAAAATGCTAAACTTCTCTTATGGGGGCAAAATTAGGTAATTGTTCTTTTTTCATCATAAGCCTTTTTAGTACGATCTGAATTGTCAAAATTGGCATTACATAAAATTACATTTCTCGATCAATCCTTCTTTGCTTTCTAGTTTTCAAAAGCACATTGCTCTCTCTCATCTTGGGTCATCTCCATTCCCATTCTCATTGTCCCTGTGGGCTGATGAGGACATTCTCAGTTTGTCACTCTTGATGGAAGATGTTACTTCAGTCGCTAGTGCTACCCTCTGTTGCTCTGTTTAAAGGCATGTTAGCAGGTGTTCACCAGAGCAGTGGCTCATCAACTGGTCTAAACTCAGTGATCTGGATTATGAGCTTGTAAACAAAATCCAGTTACGCTGTTTTCATTTTGAACTGTGTGGTGTTTTGGAAACACTCTAGTATCATCATCCCACCTTTCTTAATTCTGTATCCTCTTTTGTTCAGGTACAAGGGGAATCTGCCTCTAGAAAATTTGCCTTTTAGAATATAATGAAGAAACAGTTCAGTGTATTTCTGCGACTGGGTAACTTAAATACTAGAATAGTTTCTAAATGCACATACTGAATTATTTGCCCATTGATGCTCCTGATTTAGAAGGAGAACTGCTATTCTTCTACCCCTGGCTTTTTCTAAAGCAGAAAGATTAATCTCTTTAATCTTCTACAGGATATTCAAATAGAAGCTTTGCTGATGAGAGCCTGCGAACCCATAATTCAGAACTTTTGCCATGTAAGTGATGTCTGGAGGAACAAGAATTAGAAATAGAACCAAATTCATTGGGACTCTGGTCCTGAGGGGTTGAACTTATCTCTATCTTCGGCATACATTCCTCCCAGGTGACAGGCATCTTTGACAAGTGAAAGCTGGAAAGGTATGCCAGGCATAGTGGTGCATACCTGTAATCCCAGCTACTTGGGAGGCTGAGGCAGAAAATTGCAAGTTCCAGCCAGAGCATCTTTGTGAGCATAGGTCTCAAATTTTTAAAAAGGGTGAGGGGTATAGCTCCTGGTAGAGAACCTCTCTGGTATCCCCAATACCACCAAGAAAAAAGTTGGAAATGTATACAGTAGTTCAAGAGAGAAGGCCCACCCTGGCAGACTTTGTTTGATTAGCCTTTGTAGGTGACAATGTATGTGGGTAACATTGGTAGTAGAGATGCCTTCTATAAGAAAAGATACAAAAGGGACGCCCCTTAGTAGCATGGTTGAATTGTTAGCAGTTGTATTAATGACTGACTTCTCATATCAGCTATCTCCTTTGTACTTCAATGTTGAATGAATTCTGTTACTTTATTACTTACTCATTTGTTGAACTACCTAAATTGTGGTAATGAAACACACCTAGGAACTTTTAGGACATGACATCCAGGAGGCTATTAGATATTATCTCAAAAGCCAGCTGCTGGCATCATGTAAGGGCACTGAGTAAAAGCCCTCATAGTATATATTCTTGCCTCATGTACAATTTGGTGTGTAAATTTGTCCCACTAAATGTTTATCTTTTGTAATTTCTCAGACTTGCTTTGAATAATTTGGGGGCTGGGGTAACTGGAGATTGAACTCCAGGGCACTCAGCCACTGAGCCACATTCCCAGCCCTAGAGACAGGGTCTGAGTTGCTTAGCGCCTCACTTTTGCTGAGGCTGGGTTTGAACTTGCGATCCTCCTGCCTCAGCCTCCTGAGCCACTGGGATTTCAGGTGTTCACCACTGTACCCGGCCTTACTTTGAGTAATTTTTTTAAAAATATTTTTTTAGTAGTAGGTGGACACAATACCTTTATTTTTTATATATGTGGTGCTGAGGATCGAACCCAGGGCCTCACAATGCGGGACGAGTGCTCTACCACTGAGCCACAGCCCCGGCCCTGAATAATTTTTGATTTATCTTTTTTATGAAAGCTTATAGAATCAATCCTATTTCACTTTTCCCAGAATAAGCTATAGTTTTTATTCACTTAACCGTTGCAAATGAAGTGTAAGTATGTGCTGTTTTCCCCAGGATGTGGCAGATAACCAGATAGACTCTGGGGACCTGATGGAGTGTCTGATTCAGAACAAACACCAGAAGGATATGAACGAGAAATGTGCCATTGGAGTTACCCACTTTCAGCTGGTCAGTGACACTGGCCTGTCAATTTCCTATCTTAGCTGCTTGGTTGACTACTAAACCTCTTCTTCTTTTGGAACATCAGAACAGCTCTACTGTTCCTAAAAAATCATTTTTTGCCAAGTATATGTCCTATTTTAACTGTTCTTAATAAATTTAGTTTTTCTCTAATGTGATTAGACACTTTGTTAGGCTCCTTGACATCAATGATAAATAAGACATGGTCCCTTTTCCTTAGGGAGCGTTTAGTCTAGGGAGAATAGAGATAAGTAAACAGGCATTTCCTGCGCCAGTCACAGAACTCCTGTGAGATGGGTAGGCTTCTCCTTTAATGATTAGTGTCCCTGGAATCTCTTGTTTTCTGTTATCTGTTCAGTACAGAAGCCTTTTTTTCTTCTAAATCATGCAACCCAGATCTGATAGTTGAATAAAAAGTTAGACCATACTTTGTGGTTACACAGGTGACTAAGAAGTGTTTTGGTATAGCAAGTGCTTCCTTCAGGGAAAATGAAACTAGTAACCTGAGCACATTGACCTCTTCTCAGACGTGTAGACCACCTGCCTGCATTCCATCAGGTTAATGAGTACCCCTGCCCTGTGGACTCTAGATTTGAGTAAGACAAAGACACAAAAACAAGTGTACAAATGACTGTATAGTCTCAGGATGAAAAACTGAGGCAGGGGGTAAAGGGTGAAGGAGAAAAGGGGTTTCACCAGGAGGTACTAGAATAGAAACTTGAAGGAAGTGGCAGAGAAAATCCCAAAGTCCTCAAGACAGGACAGTTATGCAGGGTCCCGTGAGCAGGCTTCTGAAAACTGTATGATCAAAATGTCACCCACCACTATTGACCACAAAGTGTATAAATTAGGCACAGTATGAGATTAGTATGAATAATTTAAAATAAAACAGATTAGAACAAAATAATAAAAGTTTTATGGATGATTTTTCTATCTCAATCTCTTCTCTCAGTCTCTCAATCTCTCTCAATACTATAGATTTCAGCGAAATCACAAAGCTTCTGATTTTCTTTCTCATCATCTTTCAGGTACAGATGAAGGATTTTCGGTTCTCTTACAAGTTCAAAATGGCTTGCAAGGAAGATGTGTTGAAACTTTGCCCCAACATAAAAAAGAAGTATGTACCTCTTAATTGATCTGTTAGCTGCTAAATGACTATCCAGGATATCAGGCAGTAGCAGAAGCAGCCCTAGAGATCTTCTGTACCTCTTCTTTGGTAGTATAGCCATACACTTGGATTGCCTTGACAAGTCGTCTTCATAGCTCCCCAGAAGAATTCCCGGTGTAGGAGTTCTCATGAGGAGATACCATAGGCTATGGGGACATCATTAATTTTTCCAGGTTAATTGGTGAAACAGATGCAGATTGTATACTTAAGAAGTGAGCTTCAGGGCTGGGATTGTGACTCAGCGGTAGAGCGCTCACCTAGCATGGGCAGGACCCGGGTTCCATCCTCAGCACCATGTAAAAAAATAAAGGCATTGTGTTGTGTCCATCCACACCTAAAAAATAAATAAATATATATACATACATACATATATATATATATATATATATATATATATATATATWTTTTTTTTTTTTTTAAGAGAGAGGGAGAGAGAAGAGAGAATTTTTTACTATTTATTTTTTAGTTTTCGGCAGACACAACATCTTTGTATGTGGTGCTAAGGATCGAACCCGGGCCGCACGCATGCCAGGCGAGCGCACTACCGCTTGAGCTACATCCCCAGCCCAAAAAATAAATATTTAAAAAAAAAAAAAAAAAGAAGAAGTAAGCTTCAGTTGAGAGGAAAGGTGAACTTTTTCCCAGCATCATCTCATTAGTCACCTCTGCTAAAAAATAGCCACAGCTTTTACTGAGTTAGATATCTGGAAGAAACAGAAGCTTGCTTAACTTCAGAATTAGGTCTTAATTAGGATGCTGATAGACTCTAGCAGCATTACTACCCAAATTCTTCTGTATTGTTTTTTGAAAAGGCACACTTCTAGAACATATTTCCTCTCGTATAAACCAGGTTCTCATTTTGCATGGATTTCTGTACTTTCTGGGAATAAGTTTCATAGAATCTCCAAGACACAGGCCCAGAATTCAGAGCAGCATCCTCTGTGGTCCCTTGTTTGTTGAGCTGTCCTCATATACATGTCCTTTTAAAAATGTGATCAGCATTTAGGCTGATTCTTCTTATGACATACAGTTGTCCCTCTCTATCAGCAGGGGATATATTTGAAGACCCCCAGCAGATGCCTAAACTACAGATAGTACCAAACCCCATATAGATGCTGTGTTTTTTTTTTACTCCTACTTACCTATGATAAAGTTTAATGTGTAGATTAGACACAGTATGAGATTAATATAAATAATTTAAAATAAAACAGATTAAAACAAATTAATAAAAAGTTTTATGGATGATCTGTCTCAATCTCTCTCAGTCTCTCAGTATTTCTTAGTACTGTAGATTTTAGCAATCCCAGCATGTCTTTTTTTTTTTTTTACAGTTTCTCTTTGGAATTGCCGGTGTCACTACTCTTACTTTGGGGCCATTAATAAGTAAATAAGGGAGAACTACTGTACAGTCAAATTGCTTTTAGCATTCTGAAAAAAAAAAAAAAGACAAAACAGATTTACAGGAAAGATATTCAAACACATGGCGAAGATTATGAATTCTGGGTAAATGGTGTGGCTCCTTCCAATCTCACGCCTTCTCCTCTCTTGGCAGGGTGGATGTGGTAATCTGCCTTAGCACCACTGTGCGCAATGACACTCTGCAGGAAGCCAAGGAGCACAGAGTGTCCCTGAAGTGCCGTAAGCAGCTCCGTGTGGAGGAACTAGAGATGGTACTGCTTCCCACAAACCCCAGGGGTCCGGGCTTAGAAAGCTGGGGATGGGTGGGAACAAAGCCAAAGATTTTAGCAACTACTATTATGGTCAAGGTCGGAGTCACCTTGCTGAAATTTTACCATGTGGACATTAGCTTCTTGTCTCGCTGTTTTGTTTTGGTTTTGAGGGATAAAGCATTTTTAACACACATTGGAAAACTAGCTCTAGGGCAAGCTCTTAAGTTTGTTATAATGGTCATTAATCAATAATGTCCTCAGGGACTGAGGGTCTTTTCCTCTCTGTGGCATCAGCTTCATGCCAATATGGGTTTCACTCTTGGCTCCATACAGTGGCTGCCTGTGACACTGGACTGCCTATTCCACTACTCATCCAACAGGAAAAGGGAAAAAGAAATCTCCCTTTACCATGAAGTAAAGTTCCTTCCCATCTGTTGGATTGTGCCCACCCCCTAAGCAGCTGTGGTGTCCAGGGGACTGCCACACCATGCAGTGATGAGTTTGCTTCTTATCAGGGTGGAATGAATTTGGGTCATATGCAGTGTACACTGTAGGAGGACACTTCTTGCTCTTGCTCTTCTTGTTGAAGTCACACCCAGATCTTGTTAAAAAAAGATAAAAATTTTTTTTGTATGTTTGATGCTATGAATCATACCATTTCACCTCAGTCTAAGTAAAAATTAGTAATGGAGACCAAACATCATTAAATCACAGAAGTTGTCAGCGTTTCACATTCAGTGGCAGTGATTCATTCAATGAGGATTCTATTTAAGTGGAGCTGGTCTGACTGTCCTATTATAATAGAGACTTGTTTTGAGCTAGAAACTTTGATTTCCTCATTTGAGCCTGTTTTGATAAAAAAATAAAGGTAGAATCGTATATTTGCACTATATTTTAACTTTCTAATGTGATTTTCACATAGTTTTATTTCATCTCAGCAGTCCTCTGAAGGACTAGACATGGCATTTCATTTTCTAAGAAGGCTTAAGGCCACCTGCTGCATGGCCACACTGCTGCCATTTGTAGAAGTTGTGGTCACTAGATAAGATTTTTAAAAAAGATTCAACGGGGCTGGGGTTGTGGCTCAGCGGTAGAGCGCTCGCCTAGCATGTGCGGGGCCCTGGGTTCAATCTTCAGCACCACATAAAAATAAAGAAAGAAAGGTATTGTGTACAACTAAAGAAATAAAGGTATTGTGTATAAATAAATAAATAAATATTCAACCAACAAATAAGTCTATAGAACACTGACATTTCCAACCTAAAGAAGCTCACTTTCAGGACTGGGGTTGTGGCTCAGTGGTAGAGCGCTTGCCTAGTATGCATGAGGCACTGGGTTCGATTCTCAGCACCACATATAAGTAAATAAAATTTTAAAAAAAGAAGCAGCAGCTCACTTTTCCATGCTGACTCCCTCTTATACAGACAGAGGACATCCGGCTGGAGCCAGATCTGTATGAAGCCTGCAAGAGTGACATCAAGAACTACTGTTCCACTGTGCAGTATGGCAATGCTCAGGTAACCTTTTGCTTTGGTTAACTGTAGAAGTCATGTGAGAGTGACATTGTGATGACTAATTCTTTGCTGGTAAAACATGACCCATTACATTCTGTTGAGCCTTACTATCTCCTTTATACCATACCAGACTGCCTTTGCCAGAGTTCCTCCCTCATACTCTTCTTTGTCCCATATTTTTTCTCTTCCCTCTTTCCAGTTACCTCATCTTTCTCCACCTAATCTGCTTAATATAAGCTTCTAGTGATCCTTTAAGTTTCTCCTCCTCTTGATAGCTTTCCCAGCTCTTTTACCTTCAGACTGTTTTCCCATTGCACAGAAGTTCTTAAGAGTCAAGTAAGAATCATCTAGGGAAGTTATTTTAAGTACAGAAATAAGGCCCTCTCCAGAATTGCCAAGATGAATTATAAGCAACTAATATTTTTTTAAAAAATGTTCTCCAGTTACCCAGTACACTGCCATAGTGCTTTAGCTTTTGAGATAATTTATATACATTGTCTCATATCTACCATTGCCGGTGAAAAACCTGAGTCCATCTGATTCTCATCTCTTTGTAGTTTATCCATGTCTGAGAGGGTTAGTTTTCTGTTTAACATTCTGTAATTTCAGTGTGATGTATGTGATGTAATTAGGTGCAGTGTTGTGTTTTCTCTAGCCTAGTTGGCTCTTTCAGTCTCAGAATCATGTCTTTCTCTGCTTCTGGGGAATTTTCAATCATTGTTCTTTCAAAATTTGCTTTCCATTTCCTTCCTCCTAGAATTCCGATAACTATCTCAGTCTGTCCTCTGTATCTTATTTTTGGCCCAGGGTCTGGCCATGTTGCTGAGGCTGACTTTGAATTTGTAATCCTCCAGCCTCTGTCTTTTAACTTTTTTTTTTTTGGGGGGGGGCGTTGTTTGTTTGTTGTACTGGGGATTGAACCCAGGGACACTTTACTACTAAGCTACATCCCCAGTCCTTTTCATTTTCTATTTTGAGGGAGAGTTGCTAAGTTGCTGAGGGTCTCACTAAGTTGCTGAAGCTAGACTCAAACTTGGAATCCTCCTGCCTCAGCCTCCTAAATGACTAACTTTTCTTTATACTTCCATTTTTGTCACCCTGTGTATCATCTTTCTTAATGTATTAGTTGGTGTTTTTTGGTTGTTCCTGGAAGATTTTGTGGAAGCCTTGTGACTTCATGCTGCAGCCCTGGTTATTGTAGGTAGCCTCCTATCTGCTTTCTTTTTCTTCATTTTTAATAATATCTCAAGGTTTGGTGTAAGGAAGGGAAGATTTCAAGATATACTTAATCTATACTTAATTCATTAAAATCTATCCCATAACACTTTATGCTTTTATTTAGCACTCAGTTTTTTCCCATCATAGTTACTTATGATGTGCCCTATGAGACTGTGTTTGTCAGAATTAAGGATTGGGACTTAAGTCTTATCTAGCCTCTAACAATCCATTCTGATGTGATACATGATACAACTTCCTGGCTTATGTCTACTATCTAGTCAGGGTTGTTGCTCCAGGCACATGCAGAGAATCTAATGTATGCTCCAAGGAGACTCTTGATAAGAAACAGCTAGGTCTAGGAGGCAGAAAATCCAGGAAACCTGAGTGAGTTTAGACTCTAGGATAGCCTGCTTCTCAACCTAAATTTTTATACTATTTGGTTTGCTACTGGCCCTAAGGTTGTAAATCTATAACTCTCCTTGGGGATTAACTCTTGATTCATATTGCCTTGGAATTAGAAATGAAAGATACTTGAATAGAAAATGGGGCATGCACTAGGAACTGAATGCACCAGTCAAAATATATAGACTGTCCTGTAATCCTAGCAGCTCGGGAGGCTGAAGCAGGAGGATTGTGAGTTCAAAGCCAGCCTCAGCAAGAGTGAGGCACTAAAGCAACTCAGTGAGACCCTGTCTCTAAATAAAATACAAAATAGGGCTAGGGATGTGGCTCAGTGGTTCAGTACCCCTGAGTTCAATCTCTGGTACCAACCCCCCCCCCCCCCCCAAAAAAAAAAAAACAAAACAAAACACGGACTGTCAATCTTTGATCCATTCCCCAACTTGACCATATCTCTTATGTCATAGATCATTGAATGTCTGAAAGAAAACAAGAAGCAGCTGAGTACCCGTTGCCACCAGAAAGTATTTAAACTGCAGGAAACAGAGATGATGGACCCAGAACTAGACTACACACTCATGCGAGTCTGCAAGCAGATGATAAAGGTAAGGGCCAGTTGTAGCATAAGTGAAAATAATAGCATAAATCCCTCTCCATTGCAACCTGTTAAACACAGCCAAGATGGCGCTTCTCCAGATGTGATTCCTAGGCCAGCAGCATCAGTCTACCTGGCAACTTCAGATTCCTGGGCTCCACCCAGATCTGCTGGGTCAGACTCTCTTGGGCTAAAATAGAGATAATCTCCACAAGCCCTCAGATGATGTGGATGCATTTTCAAGTGGAAAACCACAGAACTGAGATAATTAGCCTCACTTTAGTCCAAGGCACAGGTAAATAGATACCAAATAAACACATGACTAGTAATTAAGGGTCGGTGTACTTAGCTACCATCCAGTGTGTTCCTATAAGATCATCTCCCATATTCAAAGGGTTTTTCTGTTCTGCAATTCTTTGCTTCAGTTATTCTTTTAGTAAATATTCTCAGAAGTTTCTTTATCTGTCCACACATATAAAAAAATTAAACTTAAGATCTAATTCCTATGTCAGCATTTTCAATGCCAACTCTAATGTACCAACAAAAAAAAATATGGAAAATAAATAAATAAAAGTTCAAAAAAATGCCAAGTTTCACCTACCAAATAAATTTCAAAGATAATTTCGGCCATTAAAAGTATAAGTTTCAGTGGCTGTGGCTGTGGCTCAGCGGTAGCACACTTACCTGGTATGTGTGAGGCACTGGGTTTGATTCTCAGCACCACATATAAATAAATAAAATAAAGGTCTATCAACAACTTAAAAAGGTTTAAAAAAAATGTAAGCTTCAGGACTGAGGTTGTGGCTCAGCAGTAGAGCACTTGCCTAACACATGCAGGGCCCTGGGTTTGATCCTCAGCACCACATAAAAAAATATATATATAAATAAACAAAATAAATGTATTTGTCCATCTATAACTAGAAAAAAGTATTTGAAAAAAAAAAAAGTTTAAGTTTCTGGGCTGGGGATATAGCTCAGTTGGTAGAGTGTTTGCCTTGCATGCACAAGGCCCTGGGTTCAATCCCCAGCACCACAAAAAAATTAAAAAATAAAAATAAATTAAAAATGTGAGTTTCTCTAGCTGGTCCTGGTCCAGGTGAGTCACATGGATGGAAATGTCAGACACTGATTTAAGAGAAAGTTTTAAAATTTTATAAAAGTCAATACACGGGCTAGGGATGTGGCTCAAGCAGTAGCACACTCGCCTGGCGTGCGTGCGGCCCGGGTTCGATCCTCAGCACCACATACCAACAAAGATGTTGTGTCCGCCGAGAAGTAAATAAATAAATATTAAAAATTCTCTCTCTCTCCCCACTCTCACTCTCTCTTTAAAAAAATAAAAAATAAAAAAAAATAAAAGTCAAAACACAATCCACATTCCCATATTAGGATGTTAATAGATTATAATCACACATGCTTCAGAGACCTACAAACAGAACTGGCAGGGGAGGCTTGATTCTAGTGTCCCAACCAGAGTTTATCAGGAACTGTGGCACTTAAAGACTCGTTGCAGGGGCTGGATTTGTAGCTCAGCAGTAGAGCGCTTGCCTAGCATGTGTGAGGCACTGGGTTCAATTCTCAGCACCACATACAAATAAGTAAATAAAATAAAGGCATGTTGGGCTGGGGTTATGGTTCAGCGGTAGAGCGTGTGCCTAGCACATGCAAGGCCCTGGGTTCTATGCTCAGCACCATATAAAAATAAATAAAAGTATGTGTCCAACTACAACTAAAAAATAAATATTTTTTAAAAATAAACATCAACAACTAAAAATAAGACTCATTATTTAGCAAATAGAGATGGAGGTCATTTCTATTATAAAACTGAACCTAGTGACGGACAGTAATAAATGTACAGGGGCCAGACCCTCAGTGTTTGGCTGGATTATAAACCCCTATAGTTAGGATGAACCAGATGAGTCTTTACCCCACATTCCTGTTCACATTGGTTGATGGGTAAAACCTGATTCCTAGGTTTTCCCACTGGATTTGGTTAGATAGGATTTGAGCGCTCGATGACTACCTGGTACAATGTTGTATTCATACTCAAGCAATAGTTAATTAAGTTCATGGGATTGCATGTAATTTAATATAGCCATGTAATCAATGCCATGTAAATTAGGAATCAGAGACATAATAGAAATGTGACAAATACAGTTGAGAATAAGTGAAAAAAGGGAACTTGAGGGCCTGGGTTGTGGCTCAGCGTAGAGTACTCGCTTAGCATGTGTGAGGCCCTGGGTTTGATCCTCAGCATCACATATAAATAAATAAAATAAAGGTATTGTATCCACCTACAACTAAAAAAATTTAAATTTTTTTTTTTTTTTAAAAAAGGGAACTTGAGGCCTGGTGCTTACTCAGGCTTAGCTGTTCCTCTTGTGCCAAGTGATTCCTTCGCACTGCTTCTTTAATGAGCGCTCTCTTAGATGCAACAGTAAGATGTAACAATGATCACAGGTGGATTAATTGGCAGATAAGGATAGCTGTTTTCATAAAACCTTGTTTCATTGCAGAGGTTCTGTCCAGAAGCAGATTCTAAAACCATGTTACAGTGTTTGAAGCAAAATAAAAACAGTGAATTGATGGATCCCAAATGCAAACAGATGATAACCAAGCGCCAGATCACCCAGAACACAGGTACCATCCTGCTTAACTCTCTTGGTCTCATTGAGTATAGCTTGAAGAGTAACTGAGAAAGCCACCATCCAGTCTGCTGATTAAACTATATAGTTACCTAATTAAACTGCAGATACTTTACCACCCTTGGATTTTAAGAGAAGAGCTTAGATGTAAGCAGAGTGACTTTTTCCTCCTTTGAGGAGTATCCAGTAAGGATGGCATGACAGGAGAAACAGGAAGCAAACATCTGGAAAACTGCCCTTGAGGAACAAGGGCTAGAGTTCCTTGGAAAAGATAGTTTTAGAGATAATAAAACTCCATGAGCATGTCAAAAGATATGGGCAATCTCTTTTAGAACAGAAACTTCAGCTTTTGGCTGCAAGACCTTGTAGCTTAATATGCAATGTGTTGGATATTTCTTTCTTGGTGTTTTCAAAAATATCTAGTATAGGCAAGGCTGTTGCTATCTGTTTGTTTTTTAATATTGGCCACAAAACCCTGCACAAGTGCTCTTGAACCAAATTATATCACTGATTAACAGTGGAGTGAGAGCTCAGTACATATTTACTAAATGAACAGATTGTGTTTTAGTTATGGTCATTGACATGCAGTCATGGTCATTGCCCCTTTTCAGAAAGGTGGATTTTTAAAAATTGATGAACTTTTCTAGGTGGAATATTTTATCAAGTATTTACTGCTTCTTACTCTAGATTATCGCTTAAATCCTGTGCTAAGGAAAGCCTGTAAAGCTGACATTCCTAAGTTCTGCCATGGCATCCTGACCAAGGCCAAGGATGATTCAGAGCTAGAAGGCCAAGTCATCTCTTGCCTCAAGCTGAGATATGCTGACCAGGTAAACAGAAGGGCTCTCCACAGAGCTGTGTTTATGGAGCTGCCTCTGTCCCTGGGAATGTTCTCTATGAAAGTCTTTAGTGCACCCCTGTTTTCCCAAGACCTTTTTTATGGCCTTCCCCAAGCCAGATAATAAGGGACTAAATAAAAACTGACAATCTCTGGTGGGCTGCTGTATTCCCTCTTTGTCACATGTAGCGCCTGTCTTCAGACTGTGAAGACCAGATCCGCATGATCATCCAGGAGTCTGCACTCGATTACCGCCTTGACCCTCAGCTGCAGCTGCACTGCTCAGATGAGGTAGGATCGGGTGTAAAACTGGCTCTGAGTCTGGGTCTGCACAGAGCTGGTCAGAGAAGATTTACTGGAGAAAAGTTCTTTACTTTCTTTCTCTTCAGCCTTGAACTCATAGTTAGCTGCCGGCCCATTCTTTTACAGCTCTTAATGAATTCCAGGTTCTCTGTCCCTCTGAACTGCGCTTGCCATTAGTCCATCAGACTGTCCTGTTGGCTTCATACTTCTCTGTTGAACAGGGTATTCTTTTATTATCACTTTCTACATATAATTTGTTCTTCCCTTCTCTTTATTCTGTATAGTTAAATCAGAACACCCCAAGATTTGCCATAAAAATAAAAGTGTTCTCATGATAGCTCTAAGTGCTTATCTGTAGAAATTATTCTACTCCTAGTTAGAAAAAGCCATGTGAAGAATCCTGTTTAATATATGTCAATTTGAGAAAAATCACAGCTAAAGATGTTTCAAAGAACCTTACTCATAAAACTGTCCAAAGAAAGTTAAGTTTGTTATCTTCACTGTGGGCTTGGTTTAAGAACCCCTTTGTGTGTGCTTCCAAGTTGTGAGTCTGGGTTAACTCTGAACTCTGTAAATGTTAAGTATTTGCTTTCAGTATTTTATTGGGCTTTATAACTGTCCTCATGTGAAATTAGGGACTAGCCTTCTTTGTTGAAGTCCTAGGACAGTGTGACTCCACAGCATAGAGATATGTACATTTACTAACTCAATTCCATGTGCCTATCATCATGAAGGAAAACAGAACCTAGGAGCCTGGCCTCTGCAGGGAGAGGGTGTGTGCTCCACCAGCAAGCTGTTAGAGATGAGCTCTGGGCGCACATGGAGGATCACCATGTCTACATATTGAGAGGCCAAGGTTTCTGGTGATAGCAGAACATCCTTCACCTGTCACTCAGCATCTGGTCAGTGCAGTGAGAGAAGTCACCAGTGAGAGAAGTGTCCAGGGACTGTTGGACTCAGCAGGCTCATCTGTTCAGGAAGCCTTTTGCTCTTTTTTGTGCTCAGGAGAATGGCCTTGTTTTCTTTTGTCTCCTGAACAGATTGCCAATCTTTGTGCTGAAGAAGCAGCAGCCCAGGAGCAAACAGGTCAAGTGGAAGAGTGCCTCAAGGTCAACCTGCTCAAGATCAAAACAGAAATGTGTAAAAAGGTAACCATCATCACCTTTTTTTCTCTGCTTTTGCTTCCCCTCCACCCTTCTTTGAATCAGAATCTTGCTGTGTTTCCCAGGCTGACCTCAAACTCCTGGGCTCAGGCAGTCCTCCTGCCTCAGCCTCCACCGTAGCTGAGACTACAAACACTCTACTGAGCCTGGCTTTGCTCCCCTTTTTCTCTTCTTTTAATGTTATGGTCTGTACTCCTTAGTAACAAGATTGGAACTCTAAGCCTTCCATCACAGCATTCTATGTGTTTCGTAAAACTTTAAACCTGGTCCTTGACCATTATCTCCTTTAACTTTAATATTCTTTCACATACACTAATTATTTGTAAATATGCCTCATCTTGCAGCTAGACCATTGTGTTTTTTTAATGTATTTTTTTTTAGTTTTTGATGGACCTTTATTTTATTTATTTGTTTATATGCAATGCTGAGAATCGAACCCAATGTGTCACACATGCTAGGTAAGTGTTTCACCACTGAGCCACAACTCCAGCCCACTAGACCATTATTTAAAGGCACCCTGAACAAAACAAAATGTTAGTACCATTTTATCGTTTCACACTCATGACAATCAATGAAACAAAGTATCTAATTCATTTAAGAAATGTCACCTTATTAGCAGGGTGCAGTGGTACACTTCAGTAATCCCAGCAATGCAGGTGGATGGCAAGTGCAAAGTCAGCTTGGACAACTTATCAAGACCCTGTCTCAAAATAAACTAGAAAGGCTGGAATTGTGGCTCAGTGGTAGAACACTTACCTAGCATGTGTGAGGTACTGGGTTCAGTTATCAGTGTTGCATATAAATAACTGAATAAAATACAGGTCCATTAATATCTAAAAAAAAATTGTTTTTAATAAATACAGTAGAAAGGGTAGGGAATATAGCTCAGTGGTAGAGCATTAGCCTAGCCTGTGCAAGCATTGGGTTCAATTCCCTGTACCAAAAAATACTAACAATCAAATTATGCCTTCTAAGCATACATTATCTTGCAACACGGAAAATGCAATTTAGCAGACTAGACCATTTAACAAGAGCCTGTCTCAGTTCACAAAAGGGTTACAGATGCTTTCAGGGATAAAGCATTTGTCTAACAAGCCCAAGACCCTGGGTCCAATCCCTGGTACTGCCCAGAAAAGGGCAAAGGAATTAATGTGTTTGACCTTTAAAAAAAAAATTAATCTTGTTTAAAAGAAACTTTTATTGATGTCATTGTTGAGTCATTAAGAATGTTGTTTACATCTGCCTAAAATGTTTGATTCCACATGTTCTAAAAAATGGTAGGAGCTGGTTAAAAACTTAACTTTTCCTGCCGGGCATGGTGGCGCATGCCTGTGATCCCAGTGGCTCAGGAGGCTGAGACAGGAGGATATCGAGTTCAAAGCTAGCCTCAGCAACAGTGAGGCACTAAGCAACTCAATGAAACCCTGTCTCTAAAAAAAAAAAAAAATACAAAATAGGCCTGGGGATGTGGCTCAGTGATCAAGTGCCCCTGAGTTCAGTTCCCAGAACCAAACAACCAAACAAAAAAGTTTTCCTTTGACTCCTTTGTCATCAAATGATCTCGTATAACTTTGGGCAGGATTATTTAGTTTTGTGTTATTGTCTTATAGAACTGTAGTCTTCCCATTGAGAACAAACTAAATTTTATTAAGAAAACATTTCTAAGGGCTGGGGTTGTGGCTCAGCAGTAGAGCACTCGCCTAGCGTGTGTGTGAGGCTCTGGGTTCGATCCTCAGCACACATAAAAATAAATAAATAAAATAAAAAGGTATTGTGTCCAATTACAATTGAAAAATATAAAAAAAGAAAGAAAGAAAGAAGACATTTCCGAAGTTGGGATGCAGCTCAGTGGTAGAGCATTTTCGTAGCATGTGCATGGCCCTGAGTTCAATCCCCAGCACCACAAAGGAAGGCATTTCTGGCCCATCTTTCCTCCTGTCTATAATTTCATCATGCATAAATGGAGCATCTGTAGAGTTGATATTAGTTCTAATAAAGTGTTTACATTGCTGTTGCTCAGGATAGTAATGAATTCAGATAATTCCTCTTGCAGTAAAAGTAATATTCTGTCCATTCTTTTTTCCTTTTGGGAATGATAGAGGTAAAAGTGGAATATTTTATAAACAAATTGACCCATATTTGGGAATTTTTATATAGCCTATTATGCTGATTTTTACATTTCATGGTTTTTTTTCCTGATTTCCCAAAGTTAACCGAATAATTATATAACACCAATAAAAACACTACCATTTAGGTACTTTAAAATTATATAGCCAGGAGCTGGGGTTGTGGCTCAGTGGTAGAATGCCCGCCTAGCACGTGTGAGGTCCTGGGTTCAATCCTCAGTACCACATATAATGAATAAGTAAAATAAAGTTTAAAATATATATATATATA